TTTTTTTTTAAACTGGACATTACTCTTTTTGTCTAAGTATGTTTGTATAATTGTATTACCAATCCATTTTTAACATAAAAGAAGCAGTGCTATGACTAACATAAGTTATACTTATGTAAAAATTGCCAATAATATAAGTTTGTCACATTCACGTTTGGTCTCACAATTAGTTAAATTGTCAATAGTTAGGTTAAAATGAAGAAAAATAATAATAATAATAATAAAAATGTCAAAGAACAACTATATCCAAGGCTAAAATATGTCATTGTTTCATTGTTACAAAAAAGGTCTAGAAGTAAAAGTATGTCAAAAATGTATCACGTAACACAAACAATACTTATGTCGAAAAAAATGAAAACATGTCAAATAATACAAACTTTGTCAGATATAGGTATCACATGTCAAAATACGTCCATCAAAAAGTCATAAATACTGTAATAACATTTGTCTGTTAATAAATTTCGGATCTTCTTTTTAAATGAATTAATACTCAGCACCTTATAAGACTGGGGTATTTTGTTGTAAATCTTGGGTGCCATACAAAATAAGCTTTTCGACATTAGCGCAGTCCTTGACGAATGCAAACATAATTTACTATTATTGCGTCGGTTGCGGGGGTTCGTGTCTGATAATAAAGGAAATAAGTGGGGATTACTTTTAACAAATGACAATACTTCAAAAATATAGAGGGACGGCAGAGTCAGTATTTTGTATTTTTTAAACAAAGGTTTGCAACTATTGGTTGGTTTTAAATTAAACATGGAACGCAGGCATCTTTTTTGGGCTTTGAAGGCTATTTCTTTGTCTGACGAGTTTCCCCAAAAAATTAAACCATAACGAAGCACGGATGCTACTAATCCATGATACGCCATAACTAAGCTGTCTGGGTTGAGATCTGGAGAGAGTTTGAAAAGTGCATACGCTGCTGAGCTTAATCTTTTAGTCACCTGCTCAATGTGTGATTTCCAGTTCAGATTTGAATCAATTATTATGCCTAGAAATTTGGCACTGTCGACTTTCTTTAAAATGGAATCATTGTATGTAGCTTGAATTGGGTTATCTATAAGTGTTCGTTGTGTAAAGTGCATAATAGTCGTTTTATCTATGTTTATTTTAAGGTGGTTTTGATTTAACCATGTTATAATTGATGTTAAAGAGCTATTAATATCAATTTGGTATCTATCCTTGTTATTACTTGTTATAGTCACTGTACTGTCATCAGCAAATAAGGTCATTGGGTGGTCAATTGCTCTGGGAAAGTCATTTATATATAGTATAAATAATAGAGATCCTAGTACGCTGCCTTGTGGGACACCGTATACTGGTGTTAATTCATTTGATGAAAAGGTTTCCTCTTTTTTTGTTTTAATATTAATTTTTGTTATTTCAGTGTATTGTCTTCTTTTAGTTAGGTAGGACTGTATAAGACTTAATATGTTTCCCCTTACCCCACTTGCGTCTAATTTATTTAAAAGCAGTTTATGGTCCACATAGTCAAACGCCTGCGTCATATCACAATAAATGGCGCACACAGGGTTTCTCTTGTCCATACTAACTGTGACTTTCTTTAAGAAGTCGTATATAGCCAAATTTGTCGTCTTATTTTTTCTAAATCCCTTTTGTTCATCTACTAATATGTGTTTTTTTTCCAAAAATGAGTATAATTCATTATAAATGTATTTTTCAAAAATTTTTGATATTATTGGGATTAGGGTTATGGGCCTGAAGTTAGCCATTTGTGTATTATCGCCTTTTTTAAGTAAGGGTTTCACTATAGAAAGTTTGAGTGACTCTGGATAAACACCTGAGCAAATACTTAAATTTATAAGATAGCTTAAGGGCGTACATACAATGTCTGCTACATATTTTATTACCGTCGTCGATATTTCGTCATAACCAGTGCTATTGGTTGTCTTAAGCGATTTTATAATGTTTTTTATATCCTGAGGAATACTGGGCGAAACGTAAATGGAATGAGGGTATGGTACGATATTTGTTGTCACATTAGTTATTGAACCTGGGATTGGTTCTATTTTTTTAATAAAAAAATTGTTAAAAGCTGTAGCTATTTCCTGGGGGTCATTTATTATTTTATTTTCTATATGAATTTTGCTTACAGAGTGTTTAAGGATACTTGATTTGGATTGGTTAATTATATTCCAAGTGGTTTTCGATTTATTTGCTGACACTTTTATTGAATAGTTGTTTTGTGCTCGTCGAGTTAAATTTATGATTTTTTTAAACACTTTATTGTATTTTAGAAAATTTAATTTGTTTGTCAAATCTGGTTTTAATCTATAACGCCATAAAAGTTTTCTTTTATTTTTGCTGCATATTTTTATACCGCGTGATACCCACTTTGGTTTACGTCTTACATTTATTTTGATCCATTTGTATGGGAAACAGAGGTCATAAAATAGTTTAAAAGTGTCAATGAATATGTCATATGCGTCATTAACATTATTTAATTGATAAATGTCGGCAAAAGTCAATTTATCCATACATTCTTTAAATTTTAGGAGATTGTATACACTAAAGTCACGTCTCTTTATCCGCCAGTATTTTAAAATATTATTATTTCCCACGGGGCACCGGATTATTTGAGCTGTATGGTCTGAAAGCGCAAATTCTATTACTTCAGCTTTACATTTGCCTTTAAAGTTATGTGCGATATTGTCTATACATGTTTGACTGCATAATCTAGTTGGTTGGTTAAAAGCTAATGCAAGATCGAAATTTAGTAACAGACATTCAAATTCCGATACAATATTATTTTTTTTAATTATGTCTATGTTGAAGTCTCCTGCCATTATGATATGCTCATATTTCTTTTTACACAATTGTTGTAATATGTTATCTATTAATTTAAAGAACATGTGTACGTTATTTAGATTGGGTACTCTGTAGACACATAAAATAATAGTTTTACACTGTAAAAGTTCTACACCACAACATTCAATTACACCAGTTATCGATGAATTGGCTATATGCGGCACATCTCTCCATTGATGCCCGTTTTTTATTAAAATGCAAGTTCCGCCTCTTTTACTGTTCATCCTACAGAAATATGATGCTAAAGTGAAGTTAGGAATTTGCAGGTAGACCTCATAACCAGACATCATAAAATGTTCAGTTACACAAAGTACATCAACTCTAGTATTTTTTTCCTCCAATTCTTGTAGGCAAACAGTCAACGCATTCATTTTTTTTAAAAGCCCTGCTATATTCTGATGCATAACGCATATACAATTATTACCGAAATAACTGATTTTCAGTTTCCCGCACATGGGTAGGTTCATGTGTCGTTAGGGTAATTAAGCATCTTGTTTCGTGAGTGTTAAAGTATTTTAAGCCCATAATCATTGTGAAAAGGTTAGCAAAAACTTTACGCAGTCCGTAATTATTTAGTTGTCCTGATTGCCTAAAGAATGAATAATAGTCATATTCTACACTTGAATTCGAGTCTACAATACGTGCATATTTATATCTTCCAACATCTTTATACAGAGACTGATTAAAGTTCATTATACGCCAGTTAAACATATTTGAATTAACATTGCACTTATACGTGGGTAAACAAATAATAATATTTGTGTGAGTAATGCCACTGAGGGTATTTCTTATGTCTGATATAATCTTGTAGTAATTTTTGCTAACGGTGAAGTCTTCTTCACCGATAAGAATCACACAGAAGTCATTTTTTGTGTAGTCACTTATTTTTGTATGCATACCCTCAAGGAGGTTACATATCGCGCCTCCTGGTGTTAGGTAATGACAGAGAGTGAACTCTTTCCCAATTGTTTCCTCTGCTATCGCAAGCACTTTGTTGTGTTTGTTGGTACTCAGGATACATATTTTATTTTGATTGTGTTGTTCATTTGTGTAGTTTTTGGATCCATTAGGTAACGGAGCTTGTTTTTTACCCGGCTCGTGCTTGTTTTTTTTTTGAGTATCTTGAGAGGCGATTTTTGTGTGAAATACAGTTTCACCCTGTTCGCATATTGATCCGGCAGTGTTGAACGAAGCGTCAGCCGCATCACTATTTGGTGTCTGTGTCACTATTTTGTCATTATCATATTGATCATGAGTCATATTTACAAGTGAAGGCATATTAAATTTTGTCGGAGTAGAATAGTTACTCATTCTTAGGGCATTTCTTTTACGTGCAGACTTCGGTGAGAATCTCTTGGTTTCCAAAATATTAATTTTTTTATAACTTTCAATTACTTTTTGGTATTGACCTATATCCATTTTTAGGCGAAAATTTTCACTATTTAAATTTTCGATTTCAAGGTGTGCACTTTTTAAGTCCATAGTTAGTTTATTAATTGTTTCTTTAAGATTTAGTATGGAATCGCTGTCATTTAGTGATGTATTCGGTAAACTTAGCATTGTTGTATCCAGTAATGTCGAGTTTGTACTTGAGTCTACGTTAAAAATGTTATCCATCGAATTGGACCTTGGTGTTTTCCGAAACGTAATGTTATCCATTTCCGCACTATTCATATTTCTAGGTAAGTATGTAGTCTTGAGTAACAATAAAATGTATTTGTTAATATCGTCTAGCCTCCCTGAGGCAGCGCATACATCACATAAAATGTCGACAGGTCTGCGTCACCTACTCTGTGGTACACGGGCCTTTGTATGCGTCACTGATAGCGACGCGCACGATTATGTTCCTTCTGTATACTAACGACGTGTGAGATTCCTTTGTATGTTTTGCCAGGTGTATAATTTTTTACTCACCAGCTGACGGTACTGATTTGAAACTTTTTACTGTTTGCACTAAATAGATAAACTTAATGTTATTTATAAATTTAACTTTTTTATACTTGCCAGTATTGCTTTATTCACGTACTATTTATGATATTGATTATATTAATGACGAGCTTGGATTAGTGTTATTAGCCTGAAACAATTTTGCCTAAGAAATTATTAAACGCTACAACTGTCAAAATTTAGGCCTCATGAACAGCTGATAACTTAACCCGTAAACGGCAGTGGTGAACTGGGTGACGTGAAAAACTAAGTAGATTTTTAAAGTTTAACATGTAAGATACAAGTATAAATCGGTTAACAAATCTTGTGCTACTGAAAAAGAAAAGAAAAGTAAACAGCTCAGTATTTCAAAATATATTATAATGCTCTATCTACGAAAAAGGATTTGGAACTTGTTGTTCATTTTTGTTAGATAGGTATTAGCAGTGAAAGGGTTAACTCAAAAGCAAAAGTCAAAAAGTTATCTTTATAATCGTCGTTGTTTTTTGTCATCACGTTGATTTTGATTTCCCGTGGTTGTCCGGGTTCAGCAGTTCGTAGAAGCGGTCACATTTTATTGATAAAATATATAATCTATAGTGAAAATGGAAGAGAGCGGTGATTTATTTACGACCCGCATGAGGAAGGCGACCAGAAAAATACACAATATTAGTGATGCCTTGGTGAACGCGAAGTTCGCTCTTTGTAAGTTATAAAATTTCTATTTTAGTTTATTCTTAGTAACTTAACAAAGCTCGGAATGGTTTAACATTGTATGCTTTGTACAATATTTGTGTGCAAAAATTTTGTCACGTCATTATTTCTTTGTTTGAAAGTCTGTATTAATGTTTGTTCAGTGCCGGCAAAAGTATCTTTTTTTATTATTTGCCCATATAAATAATGTTTGAATGATGAGCCATATTAATTTATTTGTTCAAAACTTTATCCATATACTTATGTGATAAATGATTGTAGTGTATAATGAAATAAACAAAAATATTGCATAAGATGAAATGATGTAGGTAGGTAGTCATAGTTGTGTTCTTATTTTGAAAATAGTAGCAATGCTAACAATGTCCATTTGTTCTATCACCTACAGTTTCGAGAGTTTAAAATTGTGACATTGTATTATGAAACTTATTTTAATTTAAAGTACATTTAGTATTGTTGAGTCAAATATAATTACTAAATATGTTTCTGTGTCTACTACTTAATGGAAAATGTTCCATGTTCCCTATTCAAATTTATCTGGTACACATTAGCTTTCCATATATTGTGAAATAAGCCTTAATTCTTTTAAGACTTCTATTGTATTTGTTCCAGCATTAAGAGATGAAGAAGTATGGGGTGGCGGTCTGTTCATATTCTACCATGTATTTGGTTTCCTTGAGGATGCTAAAGCCAGGCTGAATATACCAGACTTTGATAAGCTGTTTGTCAATAAAGTTTTATACAGGTTAGTCAAATTATATTATACTTAATTATTCTCTAAATGGATGTCAGTGATTAGTTGTTTCCAATTTTGGCGGGATATAATCTACATTAACATTATACTCTGAAACTACTGGTTCAAGTTTAATAATACTTTTTCTGTTGGATAACCCAATGGTTGAGAAAGGTTAGGCTATAAATATAAAACATTATGCTACAACCATTAGTAGCTGAGTAGCACATGGATATTTATTATAGCCTGTTTTTGTATTTTAAATTGAAAGTAGGTGAGAATAAGATTCAAAATACAAAACCTGACTGGAATGGTTTAAAGCTAGACTAAAGATAAATCTTGTTATCTGAAAATGGGGAGAAAGGGGAAAGAAGGTTTCATGTCTACACATGTAATCAATCTGAAAGTTAAACCCATTCATTGTCAGTGCTGTCAATGTTGACTGAGGACTGTTGGCAGTCAAAGATTTAATTATTTTATTTGGTCTTATGGAGTTAATAGACTTGACCATATACTAAACTAAACTATTTAGAGAAATTTGTTTGTTTGAATGCGCTAATCTCAGGAACTGCTAGTTTGAATAAAACAATTCTATTTGTGTCAAGTAAGCCATTTATCGCGGAATGCTGTAGGCTAATAAACATCACTCTTCGACCAAAAGGAACCAAGCATCGTGTGAAATCGTAAAGGACTAGTTAGTACATTGTACTTAAAAGAAAATACATAATATAAAAATTTCAGAAAGAAAGCTTTCGAAGATGACCTAACACATTACTTGGGTGAGAACTGGAGGTCTATACCAAAAGCGATGGCTCTAGAGAACTACATAGAACACCTACAAGAGCTGGAGAGGTCTAACCCTAGGTTATTGATGGCATATGTCTATCACTTGTACTTGGGGCTTCTCAGTGGTGGACAGATTCTGGCCAAGAAACGGAAGATGTTTGGCGATGGTAAATATATTTTTTTTATACGATGTAGCCTCCTTTTTTGTCTTTTGAAGGGATTGTCATCAAATGACTTCTATGGTGGGGGAGGGAGGGGGCGAATATATGGTTCAAAATCCAATAATGCTTATTCCATCAGCAGTGAAAATTATAACTTGGCTGTCATTCTATTCAAACTCTACCAAACTAATATTTAGTAAAATGACGAGTCATACTTACACTATATGTATGTATGTCTAAGGGCTTGTACACAAAACTGCGAGCTCCCTCTACGCATCGCAAGAACCTGCGAATTGATTCACATCGCGCATTCCACCGGGATTCATAATAGTAATTAATGGATGAAACAAAATCTTCTTCGTTTCTTTTTACAGATTTCTTTTAACGATCCATATCACGACCTAGTTTTCAATTCAAAATACGTTTAGTACTGTTAACGGTCGTCGAAGGAATGGTCACCCTGGGAAGACGCCTTGCCGCACAAAATCGCACCGCAGCAATTCGTATCGTAATTTTCTGCGTTGCGAATTCGCATCGCGTCGTATCGCAGTTTTGTTTACAAACCCTAAATGATGGCTAGTTCTTTAGTGAAATTATTTGTTCTGTAAATACTAACTTACTAAGTAGTCTTTACTTAGACTTACTAGTTTCAAGTCACAACGGACTCTCGCGTTGATTAACTTGACTAAGTCTTTAGTTGCAGTTAACTTAATACTAAAATCAACATTTTTATCAAAGCGGATGCTTTGATGTTAATTTTGATTTAAATGAAGTTCGCGGCAAAAACTTTTTTATGTAATAGGTCGGCAAATGAGCAGACGGATTACATGATGGTAAGCAATCAGCGCCGCCCACGGACACCCGCAACGGAGGAGTTAAGATGCGTTGCCGACCTTTTAGGTTTTAGGGTTTTGGTGATTAAGGGTTTGAGGAGGGATTGGGGGAGGGGAAGGATTGGGCCTCCGGAAACCTCACTCACATGGCGAAACAACGCTTTGGTTGTTTTACTTACACTCTACATCTCTCTTAGTTTTTTTTTAAACTCTCTCAATTAATTCACTTGAGCAATTCGTTATTTTCAATATATTTAGATGTCTCACGATAGTTGCTATTCAAAAAATAATTTTGGATTTTTGCAGAAAACGCCAAAACGGAATTATACATAGACAAAGTAACAGACTTCTCTGGGACAGACATCTCTCAATTAAAAAAAGATTTCAGACAAGCCATGAATGAGATAGCAGAAAAAATGTCTGAGGAGGAAAAGGAAGCGTTCATTGAGGAGAGTAATCAAGTGTTTGTAATGAATAATTTGATCGTTAATTCCGTTGGGGGACAGAACAAAGTTCTTTATAATCTGTTGTATAAATTCTCAGCTGTTGTACTCGTTGTAGCTGGCGTTGTTACAGCTTATAAAATGTATAAATGAACTGTGCCAAAGATTAAAAAAAATATATATAAGAAGCTATAAAAATACCTGCTATGGCTCAATACTATCTTCCATGGCAGCCGTAGCAGATAATTTTATAGGATCTTATATAGTGTAACAATGAGGGTTACCAAGCCTGATCTTGCTAATTGCAGTGCAATGAGAACTAAGGTTTCTTCTCAAACTCCAATTTATAATAACAGATACAATATATCGATTTTATCAGTGACAATGATTGGTCAATGTGAACCTTAAACGACAAAACAAAGAACGAAAAACATTCATTTCACACAAACGACGCAAAAACAACAACAACAACAACAACAACACAATAATAAGGACGAAATAAACATAGAAAATACGCTGAATTTGCGTCTCCTTGTGTCAAACGTTAACGCCATCTAGTACACAGAAATGGTAACTCTCATTATGATAAATTACGTACTTTCAGTTTTGTTGTTATAGCGAATATTTCTTGTTGTTATTTATTTTAAAGTCTAATTATTATGACGATTATATTTTTAATAAGGGTAAGAAATGTATTGTTAAATAATAATTATTGGATTGCTATCGGTCGTCAAGTAGGTAGTGAATATTGGTTTAATTGACTTTCAACTTTATGCTTCTATGAAAAGAGGTGAAATATGTTTACGACTTAGCGACTGATCGCTGTTCGTTTCTCACTATGAGGCTTCTAGCCCAAGTTCAGCATGTAAAAGCAACTTATAAAAGCAATTTTGTGAAAATAAATGTTTAATAATTAATTTTCGTCTGGCTAGCCTAATAATGTAGGTAGAAAATGTTAAAAATTGAACTAACGCACTTATTTGTCAGTAAAAATCTTCTCTTCTGCCAATGTTTTATGTATAACTAAGAAATAAATAATATTTAAATTCGTTTTAAAGAGTTATTAGTCTAAAGCTCAATGAAAATAATTATATTGTACTTAGTATGATACCGATCACACATATCCTATTCCCAAGATTTTAAGACTTATGTAGTTATAAATAAAGCTGTTCTTAGTATAGCATTTGTTTTTTTTTATTTTAGGCAAGGTGCTACAATGCCATAATAATTTTATTTTAGCCAATTCTGTTTTTATTGTTATTATTCTAATGTCACAATTTCGGCAAGCGAGCAGACAGATTACCTGATGGTAAGTAATCAGCGCAGCCCATGATACCAAAAGGAGTTACTACAAGTGCGTTACCGGTCCCCTGTGAGTTTTTTTTAATGGGAGAAGCCTGCTTCAACCTCCCAAAATCGCTGCAACTCCTGTTAGCCAGTATCTACAATAGATACAACCATGAAAACACCGGAACACTGAAGTCCGGTGCGTCCCAGGGACATGAATGACTGTTTGGATCCCGCAACGAAATAAATCAGAAGATATTATTTGAGATAAGATTTGAAAAACTAAATAGTTTCCACATCCCTCCAGAATACCATCCACTTCCTTCTATCCAGAATGACTTGGGCTTTAAAGGCACAGAAAAGACTATACAACTGGGACAAGCCCAGTCACCAAACACCACGGAAAATTTTGTACTGTTACGGTAATGGGACCTATGGGTAAGCTGCTATAGTTGTTTCCAGTAATAGGTATGGCAAAAATGCCTAAACGCACGGTCTTCATCGTGAGGAAACCTGGCCTTATAATTTCTAATAAGTTTGAAATCGCCAATCCGCTCTGAGCAAGCATGGCGATTAATGCTCAAAACTTCTTCGTGTGGGAATAGGCCTTTACTCACCAGTGGGCACTTAAAGGTAGATGATGTGTACGATGGATGTCTCTTTTCCGCGGCGAACCACGCGGGTTTGCCTTAAAGCAGGAATTGGAACATGGTGGTGTTTAAGTCAGTAAGTCTGACACTCCAACCAGGAGTCCTTCGGAGATTTCAATCCTCACAAGAGAACTGTTCTTTGTTTTTTACTATCTTTTAATGTTTTGCCCAAGCTTAAGATATAATTAATTAGTTTTTTATAGTTGTATAAATATGTTTGGAAATATCTCGATTACAGCAAAATGACAATTATTTTGTTTTCACCCATTTGTGTGGGGAATTCGTCAAACGACTTCTCCCGTCACGAGATATAGAGTCAGACTCTTACTATCTGGATACCACCCTGTTCCTTCGCCTTCTCCAGACCACGGTGCAGGGATTACCTGATGGAAAGCTATCAGTGCCGCCCATGGACACCCGTAACAACAGAGAAGTTACGAGCGCGTTGCCGACCTTTTGGGGATTAGTGATTTGGAAATTTAGGAATTGGGGAGGCATTGGGAGAGGGCAAGGATTGGGCCTCATTGGGCTTGACCCGCAACCCTAGAAGGGTCCATGGCCTTATATTTTGAGAAATATAGGTAAGCCTACAATCACATACATCATAATATATTATTTTGAAGTCAGATATAAATACAACGGAAATAATAAAACAAAAAATAAATTTATAAAAATATTTTATTAAATATATCAAACTTATTACAATCAAATATGTACACAGGGAACTCTTTCTATACCTCTATATGGTCACTGTATAATAAACTCAATTTTTAAGTGAATAAGGTTGATAATATTCTACATATACTTATGTGAACTCATTTTTATGAATACAAATAGATATTTGAGTTAAATTTATTCATCATTTAATTTATTTAATAAAATAATATTAAGTTTATTAAATATAGATACTTTTTAGTTAAAAAATATCACAATTCACTAACTACCATTAAAGATAGGTACCTACACATACAAATTTGAGCCCTATTCATTATACTATTTAATCCAATTTTGTACTTACGACAATTTGCTTGAGAATAAATTACATTTAATGGAAAATATACTTTATTGTCAAAACGCAGGAACTATAACTCCACACTAAAATATTTATAGACAATTTCTGAAACCATTTCTGTTTTGCGTCAACCGATTTTGACTTTTATTGCACGAAACATAAGGAATAATTTTAATAATTAAATAACATATTACACAAAAAGGAATAATGTACCAATAGTTTAAATTTTGAGTACCTAAGCAATAAAATTCAACATTGGTTAACAAATACAAAACAAGCTTATTGAAATGTCTACCTTACATTGGTTTACTTAGAGTACAATTTAGATTAAGATCCTGATATTATTCTATAGTGCTATGCTACTTATCATCTGAAGGAAGGTAGCGTGGGGGGTTCCATCGCCATGTCGATCAGCTCATCGATGTCATCGGAATTGAAGAATGATAACTCCAACTGTGAAGAAAATTTATACATTTTAATATAATTTGGTGTCACCTTTAAGTGTTTAAGAGCCATACTTCGGCACGAATGGGTCGGATCACCAGCGTGAAACAACCACAGCGTTGTGTTTCGCCGTGTGAGTGAGGTTACCGGAGGCCCAATCCTTCCCCTCTTCCTTCTCCTGCTCTGGACCGAGACCGTGGTGACTCATTGCACTTACAAAATCCCTAGGACCAAACTAATTAAACTCAAAAACCCGGCAACGTGCTTAAAACTTTTAGTTTTTGCGTATGTCTATGGGCGGCGCCGATTGCTAGCCATCACGTGATCTGTCTGCTCGTTGGCCGTCACTGAACTTGCAGCAAATGCGTTGTTTAGGGGGGGTGAGGATTTTAGTGTTGGGGAATTGGGGATCTAGCCTAAACTATCTCACACGCCGAAACAGAGAGCAAGAGATGGAAAAAGATTTAAAAAAAAACATCATCAGTCATTTCCTTTTTTTTGTTTGTCCACTACATAAGCATCTGGCCTTTGTAGTAAGTGATGATACGATATAAATAGTTGGTTACTTAAGTAATAGTATTTAATCAAGTATGTTAAGTAATAGTATTTTAAAAAAGAAAGTCAAAGTCAAAAGTCAAAAATCATTTATTTCAATTAGACCACAGTAGGCACTTTTGAACGTCAAGCAAGCAAAAAAGGAAAAAAGTATATAAAAAGAGCTTTAAAATTAAGCGTGTCAGTCTGTCCTCTAGTGAAGCTATTTGCTCGTTCCAGAGTTTAGGGCACCATGCATGCGACACAACGGGGATTGCGCGCGCGACACAGTGCGGCAATGGGATGTGGCAAACAGTCGATGTCGCCGAGAAGGCCTGTGACGCAGATAGTTTTCAGGCACATAAAGTGTACACAAAGTGTTATGTATCTCCGGAGAATCCACCATACTCCTCAAGACCTTGACTGCTATTAGAATCTGATCCCTGGCTCTACGCACTGAAAGGGAATTATATCCTAACATTCCCAGCAAAAAATGAGTAGGGTACATAAAAGGGTAATATCCGTACCTATATCTTCTTATATAAAAAACGCAGAAAGGCTTTCTGAACCTTTTCGAACAATAATTCATATGTGGATTCATGGGGATTCCAGACGGCTGCAGCAAATTCCAATTTACTTCTAACCAGACAGTTAAACAATAATTTGATGACAATAGGATTGTTGAACTCCTGGGCATTGCGCAAGACAAAACCTAGGCGTCTGTAAGATTCAGAAGCCAGGGCAGACACATGTGCATGGAATGTCAAACCACAGTCAAATGTCACGCCCAGATCTATAATGGTTGACACGCGTTTTATTTCCACATCAGCCAAGGTATACACGGCGCGGCTAAAGGTCATGACGTAACATTTATTAGTATTAAACATCATTTTGTTATCTATACTCCACTTATGGATTCGGTCTATGTCACTTTGAAGAAGTTCTGGAGTTACATTCCCGTCAATCACTTGAACTAACTTTAAATCATCAGCATATAGAAGGCATTTCGCATACTTTACTACCTTAATGAGGTCGTTAATCATAATAAGAAAGAGAATAGTAACATAATTATAAAAGTACTGCAGCAAATCAGCAATCAAGCTACATAAGCCAATCCTGGCCATTTCATTCATTACCCGTAAAGGAGTCAAACAGGGCGACCCGCTATCTCCGAAATTCTTCACAGCGACCTTAGAAGAGGTTTTAAAAAGGTTGAGCAGTGCTGGAGCACGCGGGGTTTGGCCATCGGGCAGAAGAGGTTAACAAACCTTCGTTTCGCCGATGACAGCGTGCTCTTCTCTTCTTCAGCATCAGAACTAGGCAACATGATCAACAAACTTAGCAGAGCGAGCCGAAGACCAAAGTAATGACAAATGGTCCAAAACACAGGTTGGAAGTAGGTGGAGCAGAAATTGCATACGTCCAGGAAATATCTATCTGGGCCAACTAGTTTCTTTCTAGGTGAGACAAGAAAAAGAAGTTACTCGACGTACCGAGAACGCTTGGAAAGGCTATATGGTCCATGGGATACCTAATGAAAGGTAATCTTCCCTTGGCGCTTAAAAGAAAGCTAATGGACGTGTGCATTTTGCCCATCCTCACCTACGGTGCTCAGACCTGGTCTTTGACAAAACATCAGAAGTCCACATTCAAGGTTTGTCAGCGAGCCATGGAGAGCAGCATCTTAGGAGTTCGATTAACGGACAAAATAAAGAATACCGACTGCGCTCCAAAACTCAAATCGCTGACGTTGGTCACTGGAACTGGGCTGGACATGTTTGCCGTATGTCAGACGAACGTTAGGCAAAATTTATTACCGAATTGACCCTACACAACGCTAATAGACACCGAGGCAGGTCCAAAAGAAGACGGCGGGACCGCGGGACGAACTTGACACAAGGAGGAGTTACGAGCGCGTTGCCGACCTTTTGGGGATTAAGGATTTAAACATTTTGGAATTGGGGAGGCATTGACCCGCAACCCTAGAAGGGTCCATCGCCTTATATTATGAGAAATATAGGTAAGCAGTTACCTATAATCAAATACATCATAATATATTATTTTGAAGTCAGTTACCAATACGTAGGAAATAAAACAAGAAAAAATAAATTTATAAAAATATTTTATTAAATATATCAAACTTATTACAATCAAATATGTACACAGGGAACTCTTTCTATACCTCTACATGGTCACTGTATAATAAACTATTTTTTTAAGTGAATAAGGTTGATAATATCTTTTATATTCTAAATATACTTATGTGAAATCATTTTTATGAATACAAATAGATATTTGAGTTAAATTTGTTTATCATTTAATTTATTTAATAAAATAATATTAAGTTTATTAAATATAGATACTTTTTAGATAAAAAATATCACAATTCACTAACTACCATTAAATATAGGTACACATACAATTTTGAGCCCTATTCATTATACTATTTAATCCAATTTTGTACTTACGACAATTTGCTTGAGAATAAATTACATTTAATGGAAAATATACTTTATTGTCAAAACGCAGGAACTATAACTCCACACTAAAATATTTATAGACAATTTCTGAAGCCATATGCGTTTTGCGTCAACCGATTTTGACTATTATTGCAAGTGACATAAGAATAATTTTAATAATTAAATAACATATTACACAAAAAGGAATAATGTTCCAATAGTTTAAATTTTGAGTACCTAAGCAATAAAGTTCAACATTGGTTGACAAATACAAACCAAGCTTATTGAAATGTCTACCTTACATTGGTTTACTTAGAGTACAATTTAGATTAAGATCCTGATATTATTCTATAGTACTATGCTACTTATCATCTGAAGGAAGGTAGCGTGGGGGGTTCCATCGCCATGTCGATCAGCTCATCGATGTCATCTGAATTGAAGAATGATAACTCCAACTGTGAAGAAAATTTTTATAAATTTTAATACAATTTGGTGTCACCTTCAACTGTGGGAGAGCCATGCTTCGGCACGAATGGGTCGGATTACCAGCGTGAAACAACCACAGCGTTGTGTTTCGCCGTGTGAGTGAGGTTACCGGAGGCCCAATCCTTCCCCTCTCTCTTCTCCTGCTCTGGGCCGAGACCGTGGTGACTAATTGCACTTACAAAATCCCTAGGACCAAACTAATTAAACTCAAAAACCCGGCAACGTGCTTAAAACTTTTAGTTTTTGCGTATGCCTATGGGCGGCGCCGATTGCTAGCCAACAGGTGATCTGTCTGCTCGTTGGCCGTCACTGAACTTGCAGCAAATGCGTTGTTTAGGGGGGGGGGGGGGGGGGGGTGAGGATTCTAGTGTTGGGGAATTGGGGATCTAGCCTAAATTATCTCACACGCCGAAACAGAGAGCAAGGGATTGAAAAAAGATTTAAAAAAAAATATCATCAGTCATTTCCTTTTTTTGTTTGTCCACTACATAAGCATCTGGCCTTTGTGGTAAGTGATGATACGATATAAATAGTTGGTTACTTAAGTAATAGTATTTAATCAAGTATGTTAAGTAATAGTATTTTAAAAAAGAAAGTCAAAGTCAAAAGTCAAAAATCATTTATTTCAATTAGACCACAGTAGGCACTTTTGAACGTCAAGCAAGCAAAAAAGTATATAAAAAGAGCTTTAAAATTAAGCGTGTCAGTCTGTCCTCTAGTGAAGCTATTTGCTCGTTCCAAAGTGTAGATTCCTATGGAGAAGAACGAGCAAGGAACTCCATGGTTACTCTTTTTCAATCAGTTTTACAATACATTTCTTTGTTACATCATTTAGTCGGTTCTGATATGTGAGAACAATGTAACACTAATGTTCAGGCAAAAAGTACGAAAAAGAAGTGAACCTCAAGGACAACATATTTAGACAGACCACTGGCTGACCAGAAGCTAATATTATCTACATAAATTACAAAGTTCAGCCTAAACCATTATCAATTGGACAAAGTTAGTATTAGATAGCAAATTGTAGAATGTTTATTTGACCTGACCTCCGTTATCAGAATTGTGTTTGTGTACCACGTTTAGAATTAGGTGGACATCTATATATAACACATATTGACTTCTTACTTATCTTATAAATGCGAAAATTGCGATTTTTTTATATTTGGAATGTTTGTTACTCGATCACGCCAAAACAGCTGGACGGATCTGGATGAAATTTGGCACAAACACTCCGGAATAGGACATAGGCTACTTTTTATCAACATACCATGCGGGCGAAGCCCAAAAAAATCAAATTTTCCTTAAAAAAAATTTGATTTTTTTAATACGCATATTTTTTGATACGCATTTAGACCATTCGGTAGCCGTAATTTTTTGAATGCCTTCCTGAAACTGATTCACTGATTGTTTATCGATTTTTGTGTTCATCACTACACTGTTATGTGTGGTATCATTATTTCACAAAATGACAGTAGGTCATGTCAAATAAATTAAATAAATAAATTCTGACTATAGTTTTGAGAACATAAATCGCCACTGCGTCAAAGTTAAAAAATTTGATTTTTTTTATGCGGAGCTAATGTTGTACGTGGCACTAGCGCCATCTCTTTTTCAGGGAGCTAAAACAGTCATCGCAGGATTGTGGCAAGTGTATTTCTCAAACCTTATTAAAAACATTGTGAAAAACATGTCCAGAAGGATTCAAGGTGCGATTTTGATTTTGGTAAGAAGAGGTCGTACTCATTATTAGGGTTTTACGTAACTTTATTTGATTAAAACAAGTAAAATAACTTGTCTTTATTGCCGACCATTCCTTATTGTTACATTACACGATTATAAATATACAGACTACGTAAAAGAAATAAATTTCATTTAATTAACTCAAATCTATCTTAGGATGCGAGCATACAGATTGCCTGATGGTAAGCCATCGGCGCCACCCATGGACACCCGCAACACCAAAGCACCAAAGGAGTTACGAGTGCGTTACGGGTCTTTTAAGGGTAAGGGTTTCGAATATTAAAGGATTGGGAGTATTAAAGGAAGGGATGGGGGAAGGGGGAGAGATTGGACCTAAGGTAACCTTACTCACACGGCGAAACAACGCTGTGGTTGTTTTATGATAGTTTTCTGTGAAGCCGTGGTATCACTCCGGTTGAGTCGACTCATTCGTGCCGAAGCTTGGCTCTTCCACACAAGGAATGTAAATATTGAACACTTAGAACGCCATGTCGGATAATGCTGTCCAACGCTAGCGGAGGGTTAGCCGTCAACAGTTTTTGTCGGCAGTCGAATGCTTAAATAACTTTATTTTATTTTATTATTTAATAAGCTTAGTACGTACGAGTCGCTGCGTGTCTGCGCAGGGCCTGCAGAGCAGCCTGCCGTCGCTGCACTCGCAGCGCGGCGCGGCGCCGCAGCGCGGGGCGGCCGCGGCGGCGCGCGCGCCCAGTACGCTGCTGAACCGGCGCGCCGTCGGACGGTCGCCTTGTAGCTTCGCGCCCGCGAATATTGTACCTGGATATACATATTACTGGTTACAACTAGGAATTGTATAAACGAAACATTACATGCAATTATGAAATAGCAAAATAGGAAAAGAACCGCTTGTCGTCGTATCGTACATTTGCCGCGCAGCTTGGGTATCATTATCATCATCAGCCTATAAATGCTTACTGCTGAGCCAAGGTCTCTTTAATAAGCGGTTTGCGAATTTTAACTTAGTTACAATTATATTTTCTTCGACATAATATAATATACAGGGTGTAAAAAGACACTTAACGAAGCCGAAAGCCACGTATTCTACCCATTATTTGGATAATTTTTTTCTTTAAGACCATATCTGGGACTCCACGGATTCACGAGATATTGAAGGTCAAAGATGCATTTTTAAATATATTTTTTGCGCAATCGGATTCTAAGTATTATTACAAAACTTTTTTCCAAACAAACATTACCTGAATTTTCGATTTTTCTAAATAAATTACGCATTTGAAGTTACGAACAGTAATGTACGTAATAAATAAATGCAGACCCGCCCAAAAATCATCGTGCATCTCAGTAGGATTTTTATTTTACAGAATTGTTTTGTTGTTGCGAAGTAAAACGTCGACCTACGTACTTATCACAGCGTTTTAATGCTAAGCTGTGAACCTTCGCACACAATGACACGAAGCCCGTTTGCTTTACATTGCGCGCAATAAAATTATTTTTTTGATACCTAAAAATAAAAGTAGTTTCCCAGTGATAATTTTAGCGCAAAACTACTTAGTTAGAACTGCAGTATGCGTAGTTAACGGCTTGTTTAAGCGTCTTTTTACACCCTGTATGTGTAACGTAAGAAAATTAGTGTTGGTGTCTGCCAGATTTTGTACCAGCACCTCAATTAATTTATATGTATGCATTATATGTAGGTAGGTCCCACGATAGTCATTATTAAAAAAACAGTAATAAATTACCATTAGTCTCCATAGCGAGTGAGGTGCACAGTCCAAGCTTCTCCTTGGGTAGCTTGACTTGCTTCCTTAGCGCGGAGTCGCCTACTAGCCGCTCGTAATCTTTGTTCGTGTACGCTAGAGTATTGTCCACACCTGGGAGGAATAAGTTAAATATAAATGGAGATTATCCAAAATCCGAAATAATATTATAAATGTGAAAGTAACTCTGTCTGTCTGTCTTTTCTTCAAGCCTAAACTACTGAACCGATTTGTATGAAATTTGGTATTTGTTTGTTTGTAAAGGCACCCACGACGCAGGAGAAAATTCTAATATGGGGCACTTTTGAATGTCAAACAAAAAATAAATATCAAAAAGTTCAACTTTGTGTGTGTCATTCTGTCGGTCTGTCCTCTATGGAGAAGTGCGAGCAAGAAATTCCATGGTTACTCTTTTGTCAATCAGTTTAACAATTTATTTCATTTTCAAAAGCTTACAAGAAATGGTGGCAGCTCGTCGCAATGTTTATTTACATTTATAGTGGTATAATATTCAGTCGGGAATTGTGTCAATTTTTTAATAGTTTACAGAAAAATATTTTTTTCCTATAGAACTTTTGAACTGTGACAAATCAGTATTTTCTCTTAGATCGAGTTGGGGCTCCGGACCTTACTCACACGGCGAAATACAACGCTGTAATTGTTTCACGCATTCGTGCCGAAGTTGGGCTCTCCCACACTTCAAAAGACAAATTCATTTTTGCCCCTAGGGAGCATTGGTTGGTTCCTAGGGTCAAAAATGAATAATTTGTTCCTGTGTATTCTGTACTCACCGAACAAGTACTTAGCCGCCCTCTTCTTGGACAGCATGAAATCATCGTCCATGAGTATGTGGAGGGTCACCGAGCTCTCCATCAGGTTGTGGTAAATCGTCGAGTAGTCCAGCTGAATAACAATTAATAAAACAATATAAAATACCTGACAACTAATTCTCACATATCTATATATATATATATATCTTATATATAAAAATGAATCGCAAAATATGTTGGTAAAGGCATAACTCAACAACGCCTGGACCAATTTTGCTAATTCTTTTTTTGTTTGTTATTTTTAGTAGAAGGTTCTTATCAAAGAAAATGTTAGAAAAGTAGAGGGGAAGATTAGGAAAAAGTGAACCTTTGATAGCGAGATAGATAGTTGCACCCGTGCGAAGCGGGAGCGACCCGCTAGTTAACTTATATAAACATAACTTCACTGAATAGTATAAAATCTTTAAAACTACGAAACGGTTTTTGATGCGAGTTTTTTAATACATAGAGTGATTGAAGAGGAAAGTTTATAGTATGTATAATAACATTCAATAAACAGTGGAGGAATTTAATATTAGATTTGTTCCCGTGCGAAGCCGGGGCGTGTTGCTAGTTCTATACATTTTTTTTTATGTAATAGGTCGGCAAACGAGCAGACGGATTACCTGATGGTAAGCCATCAGCGCCGCCCATGGACACCCGCAACGGAGGAGTTACGAGTGCGTTGCCGACCTTTTAGGGATTAGGGATTTGGAGATTTAGGGATTGATGAGGGATTGGGGGAGGGGAAGGATTGGGCTTCCGCTAACCTCACTCACACGGCGAAACACAACGCTATGGTTGTTTCACGCCGGTTTTCTGTGAGGCCGTGGTATCACTCCAGTCGAGCCGACTCATTCGTGCCGAAGCATTGCTCTCCCACACTTATACAATACGATATTTGCGTCTGAATATATTTAAAAAGCTGAAGAGCGATATAAAATACTTATTCCTTTGATTATTCAAGTGAACTGGCTCGCTTCATTGTTGATTTCATTATCGCTTATCACTAGGAGAGATAGTGGTCAACGGTGGATAATTGCAAATAATAATAAAAATATTAAGTCGCGCTAATATCCTAATATTCTACTACATATATCCTACTATTCTACTAAATCCTACTATCCTACTACAATATTATAAATATTGAAGTTAGTTAGAATGTATGGGTGTATGTTAGTTATTCTAACATACAAATGTATGTAGATAGGTCTTATTCTGGATAAACACATGTACTGCTTTTTATCAATAAACCACGCGGGCGGAGCCACGTGCGCAAGCTAGTTTACTATAGCTTAAAATGTCTAAGCTATTTTAATATGTTTGAATTTAATAATAGACATACGACTTACCCTCATAAATGTAGAATCACACTTGGAGCAGGGCATCAGTATAAATGTCTTCGGTACAGCGGCGCGGAACGGAAGCTGAGTGGCGAAGCTTAGTGCAGCGAACATGTCCGCTTTTCTAGTGCGATTACCGCGAACCAAGTCCGCTTTGTCTGCAAGCGAAATTTTACTTTATTATCTTGTGCACAAGTTTGATATTTGAAGACCCTGATTTAGGTTATTTTTGTTTATTTAAGGGAAATTGAGCTTTATTGCTTTGAATGTAGGTTTCATATAACTAAATTTTGACAATATTTCTGGGTAAAAATCTTTAGAGAAATGTAAAAAATATTTCAAATATTTAATCCATTGCTTAAACCAAATGTTATGTATTCGGATTGACTGAAGATAATATTGTTTTCATCAAGATTCGAACACTCAATCCCAAAATCTCCCAAATCTGTAAAAGCCGGGAACAGACGTGTAACTTAGTTTTGGGCGGGACGAGCAGACGGATTACCTGATAGTAAGCAATCGGTGCCGTACATGGGCGTCCTCAACACCAGAGGAGTAAGACTAAGAAGTATGTCGCCGGCCTTTTGGAGATTAGGGTTTCGTTTAGATTTAGGGACTGAGAAGGCTTGGGGCTTTAATAACCTCATTCAAATGGCGAACAACGCTTTGGTTTACGCCTGTTTTCTGTAAGGCCATTGCATTGGCATGGTTCTCCCACACATTTATCTTTTTCCCAGCCAATTATTATTAAAAAGTAGGTTTACTTACCAATAATAAAGTTGTCTAGATGCAGTGAAACCTCGATAGGGTTGGTAAACACTTTGTTGTTGACGTACAGAGCCCGAGGACGGCGGTACACGCCGCTACCGCCGAAACCTACAATCGCGTATCTGTGGACAAAAATAATAATAGTAGATTTAATTTATGTGACATTAAAGCTGATTTTTGAGTAAATATTTGGTGGAGAGAAAAGGCTGTTACTATGACTGAAGTTATAATTATTCCAGTATATAAGTGGTGTTGAATTTTCTATAATACAGGGAAGCCATAGAGTGTTTAATAGAGCTGATTACTCGGTAAAAATATACATTTTACAGGAGAATATTCTAGTGTGAGAAAACGAACTTTAAAATAACCAAGAATATCAAGGTCTAAAACTTACAATTATATTGTTTCAGTGAAGTTAAGTGTAATTTTAAATTGTTTGGGAACTTAAAATTGAGTTTTTGTCTATCTAAGATGTTGTTCGAAGATGTACTTAATTGTTTTTACACTATTACTCCTATATTGCGCATATAAGCGCCAAATATTATTAAAATCGGTTCAGTAGTTTCCAAGACTTAGGAACGTTCATAACCGCAATAAGATGTTGCTACTCTTGATCCGACTAACAGAAAGTGTTTCTTTTTTCTATAAGGTTGAAAGTATGAAACAAAGTCGCTTTCTCTGTCGCTATGTAGTATTTCCTCTCTCCTTCCTATGTATGCTTAAATCTTCAAAATTACGCATCGGATTCAGTTCATCGGATCAGATTCAGTTTTTTTTTTTATATTATTTGTCTTGCTAAGCCAAGGCGGGTCGATAGTAAAGATTAAAATACCCAATAATTATTTGAAGTAAAGTAAAAACTACACTTACCTATTATCGGAGTACCCATTGGCTTGCAGCTTAATATCGAAGGCTTCAACGAATAGATCCATATTCTTGCTCTTGCGCAGATTCTTGTTACAATACTGGGCCTCCACTATAAACACCACGTCGGTCGAGTTCGGTATATATTGAAGTATATGGAAGGCACCTTCTTCGATAACATCGCCTTGTGGGGTCGTACATCTGTTGGGGGAAATAGTTCTTGTGTATAAGTGAATAAAGGCAATTATTGCGTGTAGTTTCGTGGTGATTTGGTCCTTTTTTTGATTGGTAGTGTTAGTTAATGTTTGATTTTTTTAAAAATATGGTTGTAAACTATTTCAATTTTGATGTGTGAGTTTGTGTAAGGTGAGAAGGGCGAGGGGGGGAGGGTGTTTTTTAAAACTTAACTTCCAAAACCCTACTTACTTCCCATTTTATGAAGAATATTCCTTTATTCTTGTTTTTCAGAAACTTTGTGGTTTAAATTGTTGTTATGGGTCTGAGTGTGATGTATATGTGAGATTAATATAGGTACTTAATAAGAATAACAATCGTTTATCGACATTAAAAGACCACAAAGTATTTACGTTTCTGTCTTCAATCAGTTAGTCAGTCAGTGCCCGTTTCCATTATACCTATGTATGCAATAACAATGATGATGATGACGTAACGATGATGATGTTGTAACGATGATATACTTACTGATGGCAATGATCAGGCATATGCGTGGGCACGTGTTCGTGCAGACAGAGTTCCTTGTACGCGCTGGCCAGTGCGCACGCGTCGCCGCCCGACAAACACTCGCTGTATAGCGGGAGAGACGGAATCTGGGGGGAGATTATGGCATATTATATAAATCATTTTGATATCTCATAATTATGTAGCTAAGCAAACCATATCTAAAATGAGATCATACTGAAGAATGAAGTGTCATTAGAATATTATGTAGTAGTACTAGTAGGTAGTTTTAGCCGGCTCAGCCGGGGTTGCGGGGCAAAAACAATGAGGCACCGCAGCCTCGGCCTAGAGCAGGACAAGGAACGGGTGAATTTTAGTCAGTACTCTTACTGAGTCATTTGATGATTTTGCCGCCCGCCGTGGGTGGGTAGGAGTGTCAGACTGTTTCTGTCCAAAAACCACCCTATTACTTCTCTTACTCCGAAACGAACCGCGGTATATCATTGCCCTAAATTAAATTCTTTGCAAATCATGAAATCCTTCAATTGACTTTTTAACATTTATTTTTTTGGCAAAATTATATTACTAACTGTCAATTTTTTGTATAACCCTGACTTAGTGGAATCCCTTACACCTATTATAACTATATAAACACAACAATAAAAAACACAGAATAAATAATACTTACCACAGAGAAGCACGGATTGAGTGGCGATACTTTATTCTGGAAGAACTTCTCGCACTGTGTATCATTCTTCAAGTCTTTGTTTTCAATGTTGGTGGGATTGGCGCTGGGCACAATGTTCCAGCTGTGGCCTAGTGTTGGGATTGAGGTCGTGAACGTGTTGTTGGGTAGTAGAAGGTCATCATACTGTTCGTTGTTGTATGTCCCGAGTAGGCCACCGAGGGTTGCGTAGAACCAACCTATGGAAGGAATGGGGATTATTAGCTTTTACAATAATATCTGTATTTATTATAATATATGACTGTTGTCTATGCCTATTGTATGCTGAGATGCTCAAAGAACATATCGCCGCAGTCAAGAACCGACAGAGCAACAAATCAGCGATAGCAGAACACCTGCTCCAGACTGGTTCCAATCACTGGATAAAATTCCACCGACCGCAAATTCTCTCTACTGATCGCCACTACCAAACAGGACTTGTGGGTGAAGCGGTTGAAATAAATAAATGCCCAAATAATTTCAATCGGGAGGACGGCTTTAAATTGTCGTCGACGTGGAATCCAGTGATTTGGAAAACACAAACTCGCTTTTCTTCAAAGTCGATTAACACATCTGTGGATACGATCAGCGTAGTGTGTAGACGGCCTAATATGGTAGAAAGTGAAAATAAGGGTGTAGATGAAGTTTCATCGCCCGAATGCGGGGAGCTGTGACATCGCATCTTCAGTCTGCTTGTGACCACGACCTGTGCAACTAGGTCGAAACGTCAAGCCTACTAAGGTATTTAGATAATTATTTTCGCGTTAATACCCGCGTAATTTATGTTGTTAATATGAAACACGAAAGTTTAAAAGTTGGTGTAATTTATCACTATAGTTTTGATACACACCTGAAACCTGCAGTTTGCAAGTATGGAAGACGAGGTTGCACTGTATGTCGAGTCCATTGTATCCTTGCACGAAGAGAGAGTCTATCTGTCTGTCCACTATAACGCCGTCCACGTAGGCTGGTAAACTTAGTACTGATTGACCCATTGATACTTCCTGTAAGAGAAAAGTTAGAATTTTATTTAAGATGATATTAAAAATATCTGGAAATAAATCTTTTTCGAAAATTACGTAACATGTAGAGCATGCTCGAGTAGTTTCGAGCGACACCGGGGCTCGTAGTGTTTGTTTAAGTTAAAGTTAGGTATTGAGAATGTGATTAATACGTTTTAGCTAGCCTATTTGTTTGTGATTGGCTTGTAAAGGAAGATAAAAAAAAATTGAATGAACTGAATAAACAAGCAGAAATAAAAAAACAATTTCATCAATAACTAATGATTAACCATCATTCATTATGAATTTTAAACACAATTTTTCAGTACAGTTTTTTTGGATGACTGAAATGATTGCCTTTATAAATAACATAGTTTAAATTAATTAACTATTATAATACTAGAAGCCTTTGAGTTAGGAAGCATAATTAATTAATAAAAAGTATCCATTGACAACTTTATATCGGAATGTCTCTTGAATAAACAAAAATGAAATAAATACAAACTCACCTCCTTATACAAATCGATATGTATTAAACTCCGCCTAGTCAAGAGCAGTAAGTTATAGCGTCCTTGGTCGTTGCTCTCCATTAAAACAGTGAAGTTGTCCTGCCTGTAGTCTCGCGTTAGAAGGAACGTTCCCGCCTCAGATATCGTGAAGACTCGCTTGTCGAACGTTACTAGAGTACCTTGGCCCGTCATCATTGCCATACCTGTGAAAGAGATTAGTGTAAAGAGTATAAAAATAAAGTTGCTTTTAGTTAATTTCTTTATTCGGTAGTTCTTTAAGTTCGAGTTAGTTGTTGGTGGTTAAGGCGCCCGCTTCTCATACGTGAGTCCGCGGGCTCGAAACTTGGCAAATGTCAATGTGACTTTTTCTGAGTTATATGTACTTTCTATGATTATTTCCACATCACTATTTAGGGGAGGGATTGGACCTTCGGTAACCTCACTCACACGGAGAAATACATCGCTATCGTTATTTCACTTCGGTCGAGCCGACCCATTCCTGCTAAAGCCCTCTCCCACTCTTAGCTGTTGTGCAACGTGTCGCGGGTTCGATTCCCGCACGGAACAACATTTTGTGTGAGCCACAAATTCTTGTTTCGGGTCTGTGTGACTTGTGTATGTGAATTTGTGATAGCTAGCTTTTCAGAAACTGTACGGTAGTGTTATTTTGGACATCACTATACAATAATCCGCTTTGAAAAAGCCCGTTTTCCCTTGAGAAGAGGCATTTGCTCAACACTGGGCCCTTATGGGCTGATAATGTGATGAAATATTTTTTTTTGCCATTGGTCTGCAAACGAGCATCCAAATTACCTGATGGTAAGCAATTCGCGCCGCCCAAGGACATTCGCAATTCCAAGGGAGTTAGTACAAGTGCGTTGTCAGTTTCTTGTAGGTTATTAGGGATTTAAGGATCGGGGACAGGATTTTATTGAATTTTACTTACCAGCAAAAGGCGGCATTAAGTTATCAAAGTCCATATAAGGTCTGATGTCATAGTAGAATGACCATATACTCTTGTTGGTGGTCAGCCATTCGTCCATAAAGTCCTTAACGGCTCGGTATTCAGATATTTCAGTGAAGTCTGGAGTACGATTGAACGCGTGCCATGACATTGGTAACTTCTGTTCTAGAAGTATAGCACCGACTCGGGGATCGAATATGAAGTTTGTTTTTGGTGTACGATGTCTGAAAGAGGAGGGTTTGAAATGAACATTACGATTTGAAGTAGAGGCAGGTCAGGTTTTGAATGTTTCGAATGTTTGAATGGTTCGAAGAAATATAATGATTGTTATAGTATAATTGACTGTTTTCTTCTAGAATACTTAGCCGGAAAGCTTGAAAAAATGCTTGATTGAACGCTTGTTACGTCAAACTTAAATAATTTATTTTTATGAAATATCCTCTTTTATGATTTAGTTCTGTTTTCTATGCGATTTTTCCTCAGTCAATTATGATATCAAACATTAATTTCAATTTCTTTAAAATGAGTTTTCATTAACTCTTATTTATAACGAGATACCACGCAAAACCAAGCCAATTTTTATCCTCAAAACAAACAGTAACTTACAGCTCTTCATACTGCAGCGCGGTCTTGGACATATCAGTAAGCTTGGCGTATAGTATCTCGCCGACTGTTTCCAGAGCCTCGCCGATTAGGAAGTAGTCGTACCACCACTTCAGGCGCACGTACGCTTCTTGGTACTGTTGGGAAGATGTAGAAATTAGTAACATACAGTTTAGAAGACAAATATTTTTAACAAGCTTTTGCCCGCGGCTTCACCGGCGTGGTATGTTGATTAAAAGCAAGCTATGTGTTAGCCTAGGGCATCACCAATCTATTTATTAAATTTCAATCAAATCGGTCCAGCCGTTTTTGAGTAAAAACATTCTCACAAACGTTCGCAATATTAGTAGGATATTTTGTAAGGTTTAGATACTATGCAAATGATTTGACGAATATATACATATTATGTATAAGCGAATTCCGTTAACTCCCATTTTGAACATAAAAAAAATATGAACAAAAATAAATTATTGATGGAGTTGGAGGATTAATTTATGGAGTTTCTTGCTCGTTCTTCTCCATTCGAATCTACAATTTGGAATGAGCACCTAGCTTCACTGACGAACAGACTGACAGACTACTTTTCTATTTTGACGTTTCAAAAGTACCTATTTATGGTTTAGTTGGAATAAATGATTTTGACTTTGACTTTGAAAACGAGATTTCTTCTTCCTGTAGGCATGTTCTTTTGGTTATTTCAGCTATGAAGCTAACAAATATTCGCATATAAGATTTTTGAAATATTATAACGTTTTTCAATATTTACACGAAAACCTATTTATAACTTAATCTTAAACGAAAAACGGTCGAAAATCCTACCTTCTCTCTGACGTAGACAACTTGCTTGGTCTTCAAGAAGTTCTCCCATGCGTTTCTGAACTCCGCGTACAGTTGTGTGAATTCATCCTTGAATGGAATATACTTCTCTATCTTAGCCCAAACGAAGTTGAAGAGCTTTTTGCTGTATTTCTTTATATTGGTTATCAAATCGTTGTTCATAAGGTCCTTGTAGATGCTGTGGGAAAATTAGACTTATTGATTGGAGGTTATGGTTGAGTTTGCAATGATATTTGAGATAAATTTTGAGAATTGTTCTAACACTTATTCAAATAGGCAAAATGTAGTGTTTTTTACTTTTTGAATACAATTATACTAAATAATTATTTTTATAAAGGCAATCCTAATATGCTGCTATTATTTATGTGTACTCAATTCTATACTCTAGCACTTCTTTGCGCATCTAAATGGGTGTGAGCACTCGGGTTTTTAACTTACTAAACAATAGCAACTCAAATATACATCATAAAGTATCAGTTCAATCGATAACGTCCGTCTTAATAAAAAAAAAGACACTCACCGATCCATCTCATGTCCGAATGTCGATACATAGTTGAAATATGGCGAATCAGTCAGCTCTTGGGTCCTGTTGTAGAAGAAATCCATAACGTTCTTGCCCACAGCGAAGACAAACGACTCACTGTAGTGCAACACCTTGAAGAACAATGGCTCGATAGACTTAAGGACCTCGTGCCAGTATTTGGAAAGCCTATTGGTCGCATTGACCCAAGTTTCCTCCCAGTACTCCAAAAACTTCATATGCAGATCCCTGATAAAGGTATCGTACTGCAGAATCATTGCTTCCAACCTATCCGATACCAACTCCATGAAATCAGCTTCCAGAACCTTATTGACGGACTCCAAAAAGTTCGCATAGGCCTTCTTGATCGAATCCACTATGTAAGTCAAACTCTGCTTTATAGACTGGCTTGTGTTACCCATCATACCCCACATATCATTCACAATCCCCGGCAAACTCTCCAAATGGTTCCTAATAGCCATTTCATCTAACACGTAATAAGTAAACTCGACAATATCCTTCACATAAAAGTCATTTTGGCTATAAGATTGGTTCAAAAACCGCTCGAATTCGTCCAAATCGTCCTTTATAACGTGAAGGTCATTTAGGTCGTCCAAAAAGTCTCGGATTCTGGGTTTGGCGTCGGTCCAAATGTTCTTGAGGGCCAAGTGGGCTTCCATTGGCATTTCTTTCATGATGATAAGAGTGTCGTTGACTTGGCTATACAGAAGTTTGAGCGTGGACACAGCTTGGGATTTGACTTCGGTGAAAATTTGCGGGCGCCATTTTATTGAGCTGGTAAGGAGTCGGGAGTGGTTCAGACGGATGTAGGAGGCAAGGTCGACTGTAACGACGTCATCGAAATTACGCCATGAATCGAATTTGGCGTATCTAGTGTCGACGATTTGACCTACCATGTGGTAGGAGATGTCTGGAAGAAATTGAAATTTGATTAATTTTATGTTTAGGACATCCTTGTTATAGAAATGAAAGTAGTCTCACGTGTTATGATGATGAAATGCAAGCGATAATGCTAAAAAGTTCTGTCGTGTTTGCGTGTAAGAATAACAAAAATACATTCTTACAAACTTACACATTGGTAGATAAATTGAGTAAAATAACTTACCATCAGTACTATTATAATGTGCAACAAACGATTTATTCTTCATAGACAGCGTCGCAGTGCCCGTATCGTTACCAGTGGATCGACTGACGAACGTCTTCAACGTATAGTCTGGGTACAATAGCTCCCATGTTCCATTAACTTTGTAGAAATACGTCTCGTTGGCACGCTAAAACATTTTTTGGATATAAAAACAATTGAAATTAGGCATATTTTGAATTAGTATAACACCAAAAGGTATAATTGAAATAAAAAAAAACACAAGAGTGTAGAGGGCAGCACTGGCGATTTAGGGGGAATAGTTTTGCATTTGTACTTTACTACACCTTAATTGAGATAGAAATGTTAGAGAAATAATGTTAAGGTCAAACCAAAAGGAACTAAGGATCAGTAACGGGTAGTTTTTCAATAGGGCACATACTTGTGATATTAGCGATAAATTACAAACTCATAAGGCACAACCACTACCAAGGAAAAAATACCTGCTCCTTTCTTTTAATTTACTTATTGGATTTTTAACATTAACTTTCTGATATAAAGTCTATAATCGAATGAAAAAATTGACAACTCTTCCTGATAGTAGAAATATATTAGAACAAATAAATTAACACTCACCTCCCAATGGATCGCACTATTAGCGGTGTCAATCAAAAACATATTCTGTCTTAGTTTCTGATAGAATAGAGATTTCTGGAACCTGTAGAAGTTGTTGAAATAGTACCAGCGACTCCGTATATTAATATCTGACTTCATGTCTAGGTCCAAATTGGTTGAAGGATGTTTGCATATTAATGCGAATTTGTAATCTCTCACTGGGCCGTTCGAATTGTCCGTTAAAATTGAATTTAGTTGTAGGTATTCGTTTTCGTAGTCGGAGTATTGTAGTTCTAGTGAGATGTTTGACATCACAGATGGCGTTGATAGATACTGGCCTTTCAGAGTTACGTCCTGTTTAGAAAAAGAAAAAATTTCAGTCATTTCATTAATTTTAATGGGATTTGGTAGTTTGATTTCCTATTTATTAAGAAACTTTTGGGTCATAACAGTTATTTTTATGTGGTAGGACGGCAAACACGCTGACGGATTATTTGATGGATTTGGAGATAAGCGTTTGGGAGATTTAGGGATTGGGCTTCCGGTAAGCTCACTCACAAAGCGAAACACAGTGCTGTTGTTGTTTCACGCCGTTTTTCTGAGGGAGGTCTGTCCAATCGAATACAGGATGTCCCATTTTTAATAAATTACATTTCCCAATTAATTTCGGAAATGAAAGACCTCGTTTTAATTCAACCACGATATCACATTCAAGGCAGCTCGATCAGCAACCATTTTATTACAAACTATTTAAGCTAACAAAACAAAACAACTTTTTTAAATGAAATAAGTCACAAACATATTTTTTATCAAAATCACTTTACCTTTCTAAACGAAGGATGAGCAAGCGACAAGTCCACATGATGCAAGTTCCCTTCAGGCACCGGGGGGTTCTCCCAGCGACCTCTTAATTCCGCCGTCTTATTCTCTTCCTTAACGTTCCAGTGCAATCTCGCCGAACCGTCGAGTAGAGTGTCTTGCAAGTTGTATAATGCGACCAAATTGAATGTACGTAGGGGGTACCATACGTTCATTACGAGCTGTTGGGATTCGGTTTCGTCCTGTGGAATGTTAAAGGATAATTAGGATTATGGCATTTGTAGTATTGACGATATACTTAATTATAGATTTCTATCGTTTTCATTTTCAGAAAAAAGTATATTTTTGACCCAAAAATATGGTGACTTTACATTTCTGTTTCCCATACCAAAGTCATAGAACAGTTTCGCTTATGACATATCAATAAAATTATTGTTTTTTACTTTGTTTTGTGGTATATGTCGGAAAACGAGCAGACAATTCTCCTGATGATAGACTGACAGGAGTGTGTTGCCGACTTTTTGTAGGTTGTTAGGGATTTATTTGCGGATTTGGGGATTCAAGATAGACTTCTATGTTTTTTGCAGTAGGCTCACATGTTGTTATATACTGAGTACAACTACAAACTTTTACAACTTTACTTGTTTAAGAAATTTTTGTAAACAAAGAACAAAGAGACTGACACCCGGTTTCTGAAAGGCTTGTCAACGCTAAAATTTACTAATCTCTTGTCACGTTATCTGATTGGTTGTTGATAATTCAGTCAACCAATCAGATGACTTGACAAGAGATTAAATTGATTTTAACATTGATCGGCCTTTTGGAAACCGGGTGTTAGTCTTTTAAACTTGAAAATAAGGCAGTTTTAAAAGTCAAACAAAATGAAGTCACTATTTTCTAAACGACTTCAGGGAATATGAAATATCTTTAAAGCAATATAAAAAAATGAATCGCAAAACGTGTTGGTAAGCGCATAACTCAACAACGGACCTGTACCAATTCTGCCAGATCTTGTTTTGCTGTGTTTATTTTTTTATATTTTGTAAGAAGTTTTTTGTTAGTATAGGGGAAAATTAGCCAGGTCAAATCAAAGGTGGATTGCTAATAGATAAAAAATTGAATTAAACTTTTTAATTAGCTTACCGTTGTCATATTAGTGACGTGTAAATCGTAATTAAACCAAACATCTTCTGCCCATTTAATCTTAGAACCTTGCTTCAGCTCCTTGTCAACCGCCTCGTACTTATTGTCGAAGGTCCAGGTGCGGTTCCCATGTATGGCAGTCAGTTTCAGATCTTTTCCGATGTCGTAGGTGTAAATGTCTAGTTTACCGGTAACGTTGAATTTTGTTGCGTTGTGCAGGTGGAATACTGTGGCTTGTTTTACGTCCTTGAAAATAGTAGATGGTTGTTATTGAAAAATAAATTATTTTTATCATATTTTTCATAGCTCCAAGGCCGGATTTCAGGGTAAGTAAGGGCCGAAGCCAACTACAAAACCACGTGAATGCTAAATTTTATAAGTTTATTGGAAACTTATACGAAGGTGGTAAAACAGGCGTTTTGACAATTATTTTTTTCTCATTAACATATAATGTTTAATTAAATAAACAAATAACTGTTTTACGCAATAAAATAGTACTGTCCTTTTCCACCACCTCCAATTAGAAAAGGATAGCAACACAAAAAATATTAACAAAAATATACTCACAATATTTCCAGTATTGTCATACTCGTGTATATACTTAATACCGACGGGCGTATGAACGTTTTCCACCTCTATATTCATGGTAGCAAGGTCTAAATTCCTATCGCTCTTGCTGAGAATCTGATCGAAGGATCCTTTTACGAATCTTTCATGGTCAAAATCAATTGTAGCGTTTCCATTGCTGGTTTTATCGTCTTGTATGTAGTAATATTCTGTGTTGACTACGTGTTGACGGCTCAATGGAACTGAAAGTGATATTTCGCCGTTTTGCGTGAAGCCTTTGTCTCGTTTGTGGTAGCGGTGTGTGGTGTTCACTGACGCTGTTTTGTTTGGCCAAAATAGGTTCACTTTGTTATCTGAAGACTCTTCTAAGTTGTTTATCTGGTGAAATGATAGTGAATTGAATACATACATTATTTAAAGGTTAGACATAATTATTAAAAAATTAAATAGTATAAGTTTTTATCAGGTTTGTCAATAAGTCTCGGAACTAAATTGGATTTGGAATAAAGTCATATTCCTTAGTTAAAACAAAAATAACTCACACTTAGCACTTATGATCATAATTGGATAGTTTCCTAGGTCAAAAATAAATTATTTCGACGTTTCAATACAATAAAATATTGAAAAACAACTATACTTTTATTCATCGATCGATCGATACACTAAATTTTAGATTTTCATTAGCTAATTATCAAGAAATAAGTAAGCTATTTGACGCAAAAATTTTATGACGTCATAGCTAAGTTTTTCATACAAATTTCACAGAAAAGTATCGTTTTTGACGTTTGGATAAAAGTACCTATTGAATTTGACTAGTTGGAAACTACCGTATTGTAAACATTAACGTGAGTTAGGGTTACTTTGATCCTGGGGGGTAACTTTAACCAATAACAACCCATAACCAAACGTATATTTGTTTTTCATTGGTTATGGAGTTTGGATCAAAGTTACACCGGTCAGATCAAGGTAGCTTAAATGACAAGGTGCCAAAACTACTATCATTACATTAGAAGTAAAATTTTTAGTTAAATTATTTTACTATAAATGTATACTTACGTCAAATATAGACTTGAGCCAGGGCAGCCGTTTGAATGGTGTGGTAAAGTTGAAGTGTCCGTCTGTATGTTTTACACCGCCGTACCGTAGGTCTATCTCACCTATCTGACTGTCGCCTGGATGGTGCATGTCTCCCCTGAGTAAAAAAGATTTTATTATAAACGTCCTAAGGATAGTTGGATGGTTCAAGGTTCCATCCTACTTATTTCATTATTAGACCAAGTTGATGGTACTGTTGTTATTCCATATGCTGTTGTTGTACTACTGTTATTCCAATATATAACAAAATATAACTTCTATTTTTTAAATAAAATGCTGAGTTTTTTATTGCATTAAAACCGTTGTTATTTATTCCATGTTAATTTCCCATTAGAATTGGATTAGATTTCTCTCGGATATAATACCAGTTTTGTAATACGTTTTTATCGATTTAATATAAATTTTATTTTGGTAAATTAAATAGCTTTTATAAAAAGTCATCATCGACCCGATCTGTAACAGTCCGATACTATTATATGATCATCTACTCTAGATACCTATAATTAGTCAAAGTCTATTTTAGTTCTGCAAAACTACCCAATTATACGTATTATCAGTGCAAAGGTATGATAGGTAATAATATTTTATGATGCATTTTCTGTTGAACCAAATGAATGAATCCAGCCTTGAATATTGGTCGCGGAAGGACATATCCGAAAACATATCTATCAATACTTTAAATCTTATTGAAATCTAAATAAAAACTTGTAAAAAAAACAACAATACTTACTTAACAATATGGTATGTATGCACCAAATCCTTTTGATACGACCCTTTGACCTTCAGCGTTGGTTTGTCGTCGAACATAGGTGATGTGAGGGTGTAGTCAACGTGATTGGATCCATTGACATCCCACTTATATTTAACTATATTATCTATATGTTTGTACCCAGTAGCGGACGTCCAAGTTATCGTGGAGTTTGTGTCGAAACTCTCCGGTAAGTAAAGTAGCTGGAATAAAAGATTAATTAATATTACCTTATATACAAATATAATGAACAGACACATGTACCATCAACAGAGATACAAGTGCGTTGCAGGCCTTTTGTGGGTTTTTGGGGATCTAAAAATAGAGGATTTAGGGGTTGAGAGTACGGCGCGTTGCGTTCCGCGAGCGGCATAAAGAGCCAATAGACCACCACAGACGGGGCGCAATAGGGCTGATGTTCAGCCGGGGTTGCGGGGTAAGCGCAATGAGGCACCGCGACCTCGGCCTAGAGCAGGAGTAGGGACAGGGGGGTTTTTAGTCAGTAAGAGTCTGACACTCCCTCCCGCCTGACCCTGGGCGGGAGAAGTCATTTGATGATTTTCCCCTCACAAAAAAAAGGGTTGCGGGGTAAGGCCTAGAGCTAGTCCGTAAGAGTTTAACACTGCCTCCCGCCCACCTTGGACCTTGGGTGGCAGAATATTATGATTTGAGGCCCAGATTACTTGAAGGTAAGTAATTCGCGCCACCCATGGACTCCCATGGCAACACCAGAGTAGTTACGAGTACGAGCTTTTTGGGGATTAGGGTTTCGGAAATAAAGGATTAGGCGGAGATGGGGGAGGGGTAGAATTGTGCATCCTGTAACCTCATTCACATGACAAAACACAACGATAGTTGTTTCACGATGATTTTCTGTGGGGCAGTGCTATCACATTCTCCGAACAAAACATACGAACTCTCCAATACTTAAAAAATAAGTTATACTTACATCTCCCTTAACTCCGGTAACGATTTTGGTGACATCAGTCCTGTACTCAGCTTCCAATGTTTTCAAAGGTTGTTCGTTGGAGCCGGCGTCCACGTCTATATACAGGGTGTGTACGTCCACGTTGGGTTTTGGAAGGATTGCATTTATGACCAGATTGATTTGTTTGTTCGGGATAAGACCGAATGTGGTGTTGGCGCCGATTCTGGAAGGAACAAAATTTTAAGTGATTTAAAAAAAATCTTGTAACAATAAGTGTAATGGTTACACAGTAAAAAACAAAGTTGCTATCGCTGTCGCTATATCGCTATGTATACATAAATGTTTAAAATTACTATCTGGAAGAATGTATAATAACATCCATTTAATAGTTGAAAAATTTTGTGTCGGCATTGGACCCGTGTGGGGCGGGTCGCAAGTTAATTTATTTATACTTTATTACCTAGTTAATTTTTTTATAATTTTTACTTTATTGTTTACATTAAAAAAAACCTACAAATATCAGGCTTACAAATTTAAATACAGAGTGTACAAGGGGCAGTCTTATCACACATCCATTTTAAATCATAAGCATTTTACCTATAGGCCGGGGTTAAGACTAATTAACGAGCAACTGCGCGTCGTCACCGCCGAATAAGAGTCCTGTTATGGCTTAAAACTAGTAAGCTGTTCTCTGTTAATTCCAAACTTTTAAGCTATGAGCCATAAAGTCCACTTTGCGTTGCATACCAATAATAATAATAATATTTAGCGTATAAAAGAATAAATGTCTACTTACACCCAAACATGATCGAGGTCCATCCTGAAGCCGGCGTCAGTCTTCATCATCATATCCGGAGTGGTGCTGTTACCGAAGTGGATGTCCAGGTCCACGCTCTTCTCTATCTCCTTTACATGCTGGTGACCGAGGGCCTGGAGAGAGGAGAGTGAGAATGAGATTTATGATAAGGAGGCAAGCGATAAGACGGATCACCTGATGGTAAGCAATCGGCGCTTAGCGAAAAACCCAACTTTATAGTTGGTCAGCTTCTCTGACCATTATTATTACAAGTGCGATTGGGGATTTGAGGTTTTAGGTATTGGGGATGGGGTGTGGATTAGAGAAGTGTTATCGTCGGCCAAATGTGATTAAAACTCAGTATGCATCATATGAAAGTATTTCACATGGAGCAACTGTGATTTGTCATGGGTACATTATTTCTTAGCTTTCTGATTAAAATTATGATTATTGTCATATAATATACATATCAATTATGAAATTATTAAATAGTACAAACATTGTATGTGACAGTTATCATATTTTGTATACCCATGTCACAAACTCTTTTGGTTTCAGATTTTCAATTATTATATTTTTTACGAGACCAACAATTTGAGTTCTAACTTCTAAGACTTCAGGTTCAACAATAGCTTTAATTGGGCAGTTTCCTAGATCAAAAACAAATTATTTCGACGTTTTAATACAATAAAATATTGAAAAATAACTATATTTTTATTCATCGATCGATCGACAAACAAATTTTTAGATTTTTTTAGCTCAATTATTAAGAAATAAGGAAGATATTTGACGAAAAAAAGTTATGACGTCATAACTCAGTTTTTCACACAAATTTCATAGAAATATATCGTTTTTGACGTTTGGATAAAAGTAGGTATTGAATTTGACTACATAGTTGGAAACCACCGTATTCTAGATTGTAAAGAAATACTAATTTAAAATTTTATAATCAAATACACACTGTAAATGTGTGAAGAAATGAAACTGAGACGTCATAACAATTGAAGCTCTACTAACCTTTATGAACAGATCTCCGAGAAGGAAGCTCCACTTAAGATCTCCTTCGCCTTTCATATCAGGCAGCTCGTACTTGCAGAGCAGGTAACCAGTTTTGGGACCGAATCTGTATTAGAATAAAATATATTTATATTATTTTTGTTATTTATGGTAACAAGGATTTGTTACAGTTACATTAATGCGCACTACAATTACATCATTTTTATAAATTAATGAAATAGTAAACGCATAGACAAAAAAACTAAACATATTATATTATGAGAGATATCTATAGTAATCTATACTAATATTATAAAGAGGTAAAATATGTAAGTTTGTATGTAGGGGGTAATCTTTGGAACCACTGGTCGGATCCCCAAAATTCTTTCACTTCTTGATAGCTACAATGTTCCCGAGTGCTATAGGCTATAAAATATCAGGCTACAATCAAATGGGCAGCGAGTGAAACCGCGCGGGAGTAGCTAGTTATAGATAATTGAACGAAATTTCATAATTTTCATTTCAATTTATCTATTCTTATAATATTCTTATTATAGACTTCGAATGCGTATAAATGTAATGTAGGTACCGCGGGATAACAAAAATTGTGTTTAAAATATTAGCTCGAGTACAATACGCAAATCAAGTATTATTTATAGTCTCACTTAAGAACATTGTAGCTCAATGAAAGATTTTTGGAAATTCGACCGTATATTACTCCCTACATACAAACTTACAAGTCTTACATCTTTATGATATTAATATAGATAACGTCAATTAAATATTGTAGGAACGTCAGGGCGGGTCGGTAGTAAAAAAAATTAAAAATACTTACATGAAATCAGTATCACCCTTAACGTATCGTATCCTGTTGAGTGGGGTAGCGGCTTGTACGCTAAGGACTTTGCGCAGTCCGGGATAGTTGTCCACTCGGGACTTGAAATATATATCCTTATATTTCGATTTCGGGATGTCCAACTGCGAAGAAAGAATGATTATATATTGTTACACAAAAGTATTCAAAACTGTTTTTTTTTTGGTGATATCTTCATATGACTGTGTTTCGATCTGGGCAAAAGGAAGTATCAGACTCTTATTGACTAAAAACAGCACCGTTCCTTCTGCTGCTCCAAGCTGCATAATTGCGTTTGCAACCCTCGAAGATTTGAAGGCAACTAGAGATCATCTATTTATTAATTGACTTCTTTTTTCTTTTCTAAGTATTTTTTTTAAATCTACGTTAATATGTCATATAATATTGTAATTCGATACTATGAGAATTAAGTTCCAGATGGCGTTCGGATCGCGTAAGGTCCTCTCAGTTTAATAAGATTGACTGTCACAATTTCAGAGACTTATTACAAGACCATAATACGCTACTTACACACGTGTATCGAGCAACTTCGAAGTTCTCAGTGTTGCCTCAAGTTCAAGTCTATACTTAATATGTATGTAATGAAGATGTCGAAATCAAAAACTTTTGAAACGACTACACCTTAAAATCATTCACTTCTCTGCAGAGCATTATCTTCTTAACAAAACAACGTAAACGCCTACCAACACCAATGAAAACTACACCCAATTCCATTAAACTTAAAGTCTAAACTTCAAAAATACTTACTTTAACATTGATATCAGTGAAATTGCCCTCGAGTTCCGCCTTGGCGTGTAATGTAGCGGCCACTGGGCCGGCGAAGTGCGCCGACAGAGTGTACACTGTGGGAGTATTCTCGTACTTGATACGTATGTTTATATTGTCGCCCTGACCTTTTGGAACTAGTGTTAGTGCCATCTGAAATGAGAAAAATATATTTTATTTATTTACACATTACATAGATAACCTTTAGATGGATAAATCAGGATTAGGGAAACGGGATAATGATACCTTATACATTAATACTGCCCAGATATACAAAACAATACTAATTATACGAAAATGATGTGGGTTTGAAAGTGATTAGTAAAAAGGTATAATTTTGGTAATACATATATCCGAACCAACTGGGGCCTGCAAACTCTGTATCACCTCAAAAAGTGTGTATCTTATATAAGTATATCAGTCAAAAATTTAATTTCACTTAGAGGAGTGTGAAAAAATTCTACACATTTGCTGTTTAAGCCGTTAAATATTTTTAGATAAACATTAGTCAAATCTGACTAGATGTTCCCGAGTTATAAGCAAAAATAGCTTTATATAAGAATAAAGCTATTTTTGTAGCCTAAAGTTTTCTTAGTATTTATTTTATACTTGTATACAAAATACTTACTTCAAGAGGCGTCCTGTTCAGTACTTTCCCATTGATGCTGTACTCCGTTGTGTCAGTCACAAACGATCCCCTAATATCGTCCTCTTCGAACTCACCTATAATCTTGATGGCTCTAGAAATAGAAAGAGAGGTTTGTTTTAATGTACGGCAGATATCCATCCTTACGTTGTTGAGACACCTGCAGCCCGGACTAAGCGTTTTACCTCGTCATTTATACCGCGTACATCGAGGGATTGGAACAGTTTGCCTGCTGCAGTCTTTCCGTCCAAATATAATTTAGGTGTCTTCAAGGCTAGAGTGAATAGGCTCTTAATAAACTAGTGCGCCTTACCATCAATGATTGCATCACTGCTTACCATCAGGTGGGATCGCAGTCAAGCATTAGTTTATAGCAAGTAACAAAAAAAATATTTATATACCACAAAAGATTTATTCACATAAGATTCAATATTAAAAAGTTAATCGTTTGTCGACGTTGTTTTATTATACAAATATTCAATCCTACATTCATTCAAGTCATTTTACTGCCTAGATTTTTTAATAATATTGGTAAAAAATCTAAGCAGTAGCAAACAAAAAATAGAGAAAAAGATAATCAGAGTCAGAGTCTTATATTGTCTATAACAATATGCTTACCCCGCCACACATGAAAAAAAAGCTTTTCAGAAAACAAAATTATTAATATTACATTATACATATACAGTATTGTTTGTTAAAAGGCTGGAAATACAACTGCAACTTAAATAGTGTTGCGAGTCTCCAAGGTTTAATCACTTAGGTACCATCAGACAGAATAGGTAGCAAATATTTTTTATTTTTGCAAGGGGCAATTTTTAGTCAGTAATAGTTTGACACACGCCTTACTAAGGACGAGAGGACATATTATTTGATGATTTTCTCCTTTAAAAAACAAATTTAAATAAAGAACAAACTAACCTGAATCCATTATGTGGACTACTCAACGCAGCGCTGATAGAAGTTTGCGTCTGATCTGCTTTCAAAGAGTAGTAATAGTCTTCACTGCTAAAGTCTACGGAGAGAGTTCGCGATACGTCTTCACTGTAGAGCAGACTGAGTTCCGCAGGGGCGAGTACTGGGACCAACGCGCCTCGGGACTTGAAGCGGATGTGTCTGTGGGGGGCTGGATGCCATACTACGTCCGCGAATAACTGGGGGTAAAAGAACATATATTGTTACTTAGATTTTTTCTTTTGTGTCGTTTATTATTGACTTTTTCACTTTGTCATGGAGGCCTAGAGATCAAGGCTTTTCATGTAAGAGTGGTTCAAAAATTATCAAGTATCGTGTACAGTAATGACTTTTTACGAGTTATATGTAGGTACTTACTTTTTATGATTGTTTCGGCATTACTGACATACGGTTAAGGAAAACATCGTGACGGAATCTGGGCTTATAATTTCTAATTAAAGGTTTGAAATTGCCAACTCGCCTTGAGCAAGCGTGGTAATTAATGTTCAATCCTTACTTGAGAGAAGAGTTTATTCAGAAGTAAGCAGTCATAGCCTGATGATCTGATATGGGTTCGAAATCGAATTTTTGAAATTGACACTGGCATTATAGTCAACCAGATTGTTTTTTTTTTTATGGAATAGAAGTTCGTTCAAATTGGAGGTTCAGTTGCCCATCAAGGAGAAAATAGAACAGTCAAGTTACGAGAGCGTTGGCGACCTTTAGGCGATTAGGGTTTTGGACATTCAGTGATTAGGGGAGGGGAAGGATTGGGTATTGGGCCACCGGTGTTTTCAATCACATGGCGAAACACAATGTTGTGGTTGTTTCACGCCAGTTGCCTCTGTAAGGCCGTGGTATCATTCATGCCGAAACAAAAATGTCCTAAGAAACTCGAAGCGAAAACTCAATAATTACTCTTAAACATGCGACAACAAGCTCCAAATTGACTTACATAATTATTCTGATCGCCCTGTTGTATCTGAATTCCGCCACCGACAACATTCTCCACATCCGAAAAATCTTTTTTGAACTGCATCTTGATGAAGTAGTCCTCTAAATATCCTGATGTTAAGTTCAAACTGCCTGAAGTCTCCACGAAGGGATCGTCCAACTGTAAAGAAGATTGAAAAGGTAAGTTTGTCGCAAGGAATTTTGTGTCATATAGTAAATGGGATAAAGATTAGAGTTGGTTGAAAAACAGGCAGATCACTTGGTAGAAGTTGATTAGCGCCAACGAACAACGTAAGCGTCATTTTACACTGATTTCGTCCAACGACGATTTGAGCCCAAGATATTAATCCGGCTTTAACAGAGTTCCAAGCTAAAATTAACTATCAACCCATACACATAAAGTTCAATGCCCTTTTAAACTAACGATTCATTTGAGAATTTAGCTCAATTCAAAACTATCCATTATTTTTTGGAAATAAGCTCCAATTTTCTCTAATTGCTCGCTAAATATTTTGTTCACTACTAAAAAATTAACTCTCACTCAACATAAATAAAGTCCAATATCCTAAGACGCACCCCTAAGCTGGCTAAAGCAGTAATAGTGAACAAAGGCATCATCTTCCACAACGCATCTTCGAAAACTAAGCTCAATGCAAAAATAAACGAACCTCCTTATAAATAAAGTCCAACTTTCTTAAATCGTCAAGAACATTCGAACCAAACACACATGAAAATGAACTCTCACTCAACACAAATAAAGTCCATTTTTACTCACCTCTAAGCTAGCTAAAGCAGTGATAGTAAACGAAGGCATGGCTACATCAGCGCTCATTTTCCACAAGGCGTCTTCCAGAACATAACACAATGCAAAACGAACCAAACTCTCTTAGAAATAAACTACAATTCTCTTTAATTGACATACTATACAAAGATAACTACAAAATAAACTCTCACCTAACATAAATAAAGTCCAATTTTACTCACCTCTAAGCTAGCTAAAGCAGTAATAGTAAACGAAGGCATGGCTACATCAGCGCTCATTTTCCACAAGGCGTCTTCCAGAACACAACACAATGCAAAACGAACCAAACTCTCTTAGAAATAAACTCCAATTTTCTTTAATTGACATACTATACAAAGATCACTACAAAATAAACTCTCACCTAACATAAATAAAGTCCAATTTTACTCACCTCCAATCATCCTCCAATTTTACTAAGCTAGCTAAAGCAGTAATAGTAAACGAAGGCATGGCTATATCAGCGCTCATCTTCCACAACATCTGTTCCAGAACTTAGATGTAAAAAGAAACTAACCTCCTTATGAATAAAGTCCAACTTTCTTTAATAGCCAAGAACATTCGAACCCAACTATCATCAACACAACATAAACTTTTATTCCACATAAATAAAGTCCAATATTCAAAGACTCACCTCTAAGCTAGCTAAAGCAGTAATAGTAAACGAAGGCATGGCTATATCAGCGCTCATTTTCCACAAGGCGTCTTCGAGTCGCGCCGCAACCCTCGCTTCTAGCGCGGGAAGGACCGGCAAAGGCGTCGCTATACCGACGGATGCTACGTACGATTGGTATGTGTCATCCTCACCGCATTCGTACTCGTAGAATATTTTGTATGATATCTGTGGAGTGTGGAGTAGGACGTTAGGTTAGATCTGGTAGTTGGTTGTGTAAAGAGGTTAATTATATAAAAGTTTTTGATAACCTATTTAGCTTATGCTATGAAAATTTGCTACCCAAAAAAAAAAAAATCGTGATAATTTATCGTGAAGTATGATCAAGCTATGAAGTATGACTGCACGATTGGCGCGGTGGCTGGGCAACTGGCTGCCGTGCGACGTGTCGCGGGTTCGATTCCCGCACGGAACAGCACTTTGTGTGATCCACAAATTGTTGTTTCGGGTCTGGGTGTCATGTGTATGTGAAATTGTATGTTTGTAAACGCACCCACGACACAGGAGAAAATCCTAGTGTGGGGCAACGTTTTATAAAAAAAAAACAAAACAAAACAAAGCTAAAATTGGGTATTTAAAATAAAATCAACTTTTAATGCAATAAAATGAATGTTTAACAATTTTATAAGTTTAGAGTTTTTATTAAGTTCAGATTAAATTCAGATACCTACTTTTTTACAATTCAATTTGTATTTTTTTAATGACCAATTCTGGAATCTGTTTTAAAAATTCTTTCAGGCGTATAGGCTGAAGGCCGAGAACTTAATAGCTCGACAAATTTTATCCACTCGACCTCATACTATTGCTATTCAAAACCTCCTTAGCATATTAAATCTTGCCAAAAAGTAGTAGTTTCGACTACATTATAGAACTACATAGTAAGTAACAGAAAAATATAAACCTTCACTGTAAATTTTGATTGACATAACAAATTAGACTCTCACCTCATGCCAATAAGTTCCATTATACAATAACACGAGACAGGTGACGTTGATCTTCTCTCCCAATGTGATGTCGACTGTATACACTGACTTCAGTTCCTTCACAGCTTGGAAAGGAGTCACCAAGTTTAGAGTGTTTCTCATAACTGTGTATTCCTGTGGGATAAAGTTCATTTTTGCGTGACAAAATTATAATTCGGTTACCAAAATATGCATTATAGAATTAACCAATTAAACATTCGTTGCTCATTATCATTTTCTCGTGTGTTGTGTCGTGTCGCTTTTAGAACATACAATTGGGTAGTTTCCTAGGTCAAAATTACATTATTTTGACTTTTCAATAAAGTATAACCATACTTTCATTCATTGATTTGACGATATGCTCAAAAATGTCGAAAACTTTACTTTTGTATGAGATAGCAACATGTGATATATTTTAAAAATGTTAAAATACAAAAGAAAAGTTTTTGACATTTCAATAAAAGTGAAAGAAAATTAATTTGCCTAGTTGGAAACTACCGAATTTCAAATACACATCCGACACAACAATTTGTGAATCGTACAAAGTATCGTTGAGCTGCCAGTTGCCCAGCTACCTAACCAGTAGCGGTTGGTTATCACATTATTCAATTTTATTTAGGGCTGATTTTTCAATGGTTAGATAAAAGTTATCTGGGGAATAGTTATAATGCTGTCGCGTCAGAATGTTTGTATAAGACAGTGACAGCAACAATTTTATTCCTCAGATATCATTTATCCGACTGTTGAAAAATCATCCCATAGTCAAACAAATCTATTTATAATCAAACATTAAGCTACCCTGAACGACGTTTTTCTACAATCACTGGACAGCAACAACACAATTTATCTTCTGGTGCCATAAAATAATTATCTTCGTTATAATTGAAATAATTTCCTTACCTCTAGAACGAAGACATCGGTTAATACAAGCGGTGGTAAGTTCGGTAAGTGTAATGTCGCGTTCACTTCCAGTATATCTTCCTCTTCGGGTCCCACGAACTGAAAAACAAAGGGAAAATTTATACACAATCATCCATGTTGCATATTTTAGGCGTGGTATAGTCACGGACAATGCAGCCTCTCAGAAAACCAGCTTACATCGCGAGCTATGAGTTTTGCTGTGTGAGTATAGTTACTTTAGGCCTAATCCTTCCCGTCTTTTCCCAACCCCTTCCATCATCATCGTCATCATATATCATCAGCCCATAAGTGCCCACTGCTGAGCAAAGGCCTCTTCTCACACGGACAAGGTTTGAGCATTAATCACTACGCTTGCTCAATGCGGGTTGGCAATTTCAAACTTATAATTAGACACTATAAATCCAGGTTTCCTTACGATGTTTTTCTACACCGTTTGTCAGTGGTGTCTAAGTAATAATAGAAAGGACATATAACTCGGAAATAGTTATATTGGTGCTTGGCAGGTTTCGAACCTGCACCCTGCCCTGCCTGCATGGGAAGCGGGCGCATTAACCTCCGGGCCACCACGACCTCTCAATCCCGTAATTAAAAAAAACCCGAAGTAATTCTCAAAAAGGTTGGCGACGAACTACCCATTCTGGTGCGGGCGTTATGGGCGTCTTGATTGGTTACTTTCAAGTAAATGCTCTGTTCGTTTGTGGACGCATCAAATTACAAAATACTTTATCAACTTAATGCTAGTCAATAACTACAGTACGGCCGACGTATCTTGGCGAGTCTGAAATTAGTTGTTTGTCTGCGCAATGGATCAAATTTACTGCGCAGCTAATCGGCTAACTTCAGACTCGCCAAGTAAGTTGACGGTATTGTATTGTATCTCTTGATGCAGAGACAAAACAACACGTGGACAGATATCAATATGTGGACTCAACCTATTTAGTTGTAGGGGTTCGCTTTAAAAAATCTATAAGCAAATAACACATACTTATTAGAATTCCGGGCTAAAAAATCGCCGTGCCACGTTTTTCTATACACTCTCTATGGAACCGTCTCCACACGGCGATATTATCGCCGCGATGCGACGAGTAGCAACGAGCGCGCAAAACGTCATTCCATCGTTACTAGTTGGCGACTAGCTCGCGACGCTCTCGCGACGAGTCGCCGCGGAATCGCCGCGATACCGTAACGACTCGCGACGATACGCGGCGGAATTATCACTCGTTGATTATCCGACGATATTAGGGCGGAACAGAATTATAAAATTAATGAAACTTACCTTCATAAGATGTGCATTGAAAGTGATAGTAGGATAGTATAAAGTGTCCAGAACAACTCTAGCCCTTGTGTCGAAGTTCTCTATAAACATATCCGAAGACGAGGCCGATTCATGTTGGAACTTGTCACGAAGCACATCTATTAACGCTTTGCCATTATCCTCCAGAAGAATTGCTATGCCGAACTGGAAAAAAATATTAGATTTTAGCTTTTATCGTTTGTGGGGTTAAGTTTATATTTGCTTGGCAATATATTTTTATAGTTGAATCGATAATGTAAATTATGAGATGAACTTAAGCATGTAACAATCGATTTTGAGTTTAATGTTATAGAAATAAGAATTTAAAATTGTTTGATGTAGTGAAATTAAGTAGTGAAAAAACCGATAGGTACTATTTTTTAATTGAAAAAATATACCTACCTTATGAGCTTTTACTATAAGGTTGATTATAAAATAACAAAACTACTTGACCTCTATTCTATGCATATAAAGATGCGTTTCTAGCACGCATAGAAATTTAAACCTTACCTCTTAGAAAATGGGGATTGTGCGATCCATGGCCCTCTACGGTGCCCCTGTGTGGGCGCCGGACTTGAAGCGGCGGCCGGCTCGTACGCTGGTCGCGTCCCAGAGGGTCATGGCTATACGAGTAATCCGCGGGTATCGCACGATCTCCGGGGAGGCGGCGAACCTCCTTGCCGGATCACCGCCGTGGGATCTAGAAGCGAAGGCGCTCGCGCGCGTCTACAGTTTGCGCGCAGACGCGCGTCGCCGGGGCGAAGATCCTCTGCCGCGCCAAATAAGTGCGTGGCGGAATGAGCTCCGGCGAGATCTCATGGCAGAGTGGAGACAACGACTGTCGCAACCGAGGGCCGGGCACGCTACCATAGCAGCGGTAAGACCCCTCTTTGAGGAGTGGCTTGAGAGACGCCACGGCGTCCTCACCTTCCGTCTGACGCAGGTGCTTACCGGGCACGGCAGCTTCGGTAGGTTCCTGTTTCGGATTCAGCGGGAGGAAACGCCCGAGTGTCGTCATTGTGAGGACCACCTAGAGGATACGGTGGAGCATACGGTAGCGGTATGCCCTGCCTGGGCTGAGCACCGCCGTATCCTCAGGGAAGTGATTGGCGGCGGCGACCTCTCGCGCCCGGCCTTAGTCGAGGCCATGGTGCGGAGTGAGAGGAACTGGGACGCCGTCTCCTCCTTTTGTGAAGCAGTCATGCTCGCAAAGAGAGAGGCGGCCCGCGTGAGGGAGCAATCCTCCTCCTCACGCCCCAGCAGCCGCAACTGGCGACACTACGGGCGTCGGGGATCGAGGGACGATCTCCGGCCACCGTAAGTACGGGCCTGCGGTCGGCGAGTAAGGGCAGCTCGCCGCCCGACCAGAACCAGGCCCGAGCGTACGGCGCGTAGCGTTCCGCGCGCGCCTCAAAGAGCCAATAGACCACCACAGACGGGGCCCTAAAGGGCTGATGTTCAGCCGGGGTTGCGGGGTAAGCGCAATGAGGTACCGCGACCTCGGCACAGAGCAGGAGAAGGAACAGGGGGGTTTTTAGTCAGTAAGAGTCTGACACTCCCTCCTGCCCGGCCCTGGGCGGGAGAAGTCATTTGATGATTTTCCCCTCACAAAAAAAAAAAAAAAAAAAAAAAAAAACCTCTTAGAAAATAAAGTAAGAAATTACCTTATGCGTAGACAGACGAACTGACAGCTCAGTATCTAATCCGTTTCCGTAGATATTCTTCAGTACAAGGCCATTCTCTTCGAATCCTTCGAGCGGTGTGTACAGCTTGTATAGGTACACAAAGTTCAGAGGAGACCGATAGTGCCAAATACCAGTGAAACCGAAGTCCATTTTACCCCAACCTACTCGGAAATCCACCTAAAAAGGAGAATACATATTTTGATAAACATTTATGAAGAAAGAAAATATTTTTTTTAAGTTTACATTATATAGGTACTTTATTTCATTTAAAAACTTTCCACGTTTTTTTTTCTCCTGTGTCGTGTGTACGGTTAAAAGCATATAATCTCACATAAAACACAAGAAGCCCAGACCAGGAACAATAATTTGTGGGTCACACAAAAAGTTGTGCTGCTCGGGAATCGAACCCGCGATAATCGCGTCAATAATTAGGTTTAATAACATAAAATAATAATAATGACACAAATATGTTACCTCCTCCGGCGCCCTCTTAGCGATCACCATAGCTCTGTTGAGGTACTGGATCGGTAGCGCTACATGCCCGAAGACATGGAAATCTTGTAAGGATACCAACTTCAAGAATACCTCGATACCTGAAGAAAATTAAACATTTATATTGCTGTACAAAAATAAGCTATTCAGGTACTACTTTAAAGAATTTTGAGGATGTTTTAGTTATCACTTATATTTTTTTTGGCATATCTCTGTGCCCATTACATTAACGTAACTCCTTACATAAAGGCAGCCAAGTCTTAAAAATAAATTATGTTACAGGCTTAACTAAAAAGCGTGACTATTTAATAATTTCGGCCGTAAGTGAAGGTCGGTTAATGTATAGAACGCACAGGTGCGTCGAGGGCACACAGAGTAGCGTAAGGAAACGCACATACGCGTCGGGGGCACTGGATGCGTTAACACAAACCTTAATTAATCTTAAATCTTAGCGTCTATTTCGGGTATTGAGTTGATGTCGGTATAAACCAACTATTTTGGATAGAGCTTCTCGTATGTCGTGGCTGCGTTTGCAAACATAGAAAATCACACCCAGACCAGAACAACAATTCGTAATTTATAAAGAGTTGTTTTTTGCGAATGGAACCGGCAACACGTTGCACAGCAGCCAGTTGCCCAGACCAGCACTAACCGTTCAGTCAGTCATTTGTTATAATTCCTATACATACCTGTAGTTGAATTGGTCGTAACGACCATGGCCACTAGATGTCTGTCGGCCTCCACGAAGCCAAATCTGGCCGTCATCTGCGGGAACTCCACCATCGGACTGGTCACGTTCACAACTAACATGCAGTTTGTGATACGGCGCATATGACCTGGAGTAAAGAGCAACAATATTAAAAAAAATAACTCTTTTACAATCATCAATATAGATACTAGAAGGTGGTCACAGCTTAACAAAGGTTTCTCATTTAAAAAATCTATTTGTGTGAGAGCGTATTTTTTTGTGTAAGAGCAGGCAAATTAGCGGATCGATTACCGATAAGGGATCATCGCCACCTATGGACTTCCTGCCGCCACATATGGAAGTCCAGAGGATCACAGGCGATTTGCCGGCCTTTTGAAGAAATACTTTGAATGGTGGAAAAACCATGCTCCGATACTAATAGGGTAGCTCCGTGCATCCCCCATCCCCAATCCCCAATCTTCACAACAACGCATTTTAACCCTTCTAGTATTGCAGGTGTTCATGGCAGCGGCATAATTGCTTACCATCGTGTGATCCATCTGCTCATTAACAAAAAAACTCTAGTAGAAATAAGGGGATGGGAACTCGCGGTTTTGTTTTCTTGAAGATTTTTACACTACCTGATTAGTTGATCTTAATCAGGGATAATCAATAGACGTAATATGATTAAAATCTTAGATACTGAACGTCATGGTGGCCCGTAGGTTAAGGCGCCCGATTCTTATGCGGGTTCAACACCTGGTAAATACCAGAGTGACTTTTTCCGAGTCATATGTAGGTACTTTCTAAGATTATTTAGACACCACTAACAAACAGCGAAGGAAAATATCGCGAGGAAACCAGGACTTATTATTTCTAATTATAAGTTTGAAATCGCCAATCCGCATTAAGTAAGCGTGGTGATTATGCTCTAAAGTTCTCGGTGTGAGCAGAGGACCTTCGCTTAGCTGTGAGCTCTCATAGGCTGATGTATTCCTCAAATACTTACCATTGACGTATATTTTGAGAACTTTCTCTTCAAGGTCGAGGTAGGTGATACCATTGATGTCACGCTTGTGGCCCATCACGAACGCTGTACGTAGGAATCCTTTTCTGTAACCCTATAGAAAGTTTATTACCATTATGATAATAATTCGTAAAACAATGCCAAACTAATTTCAAATCAATTTTCTGTGTGTCTGTAAGGACGTTATGTAAATCGTCAATTCATCAATAAAAAAAATAAAGTTTGCAAATAATAACAATAATACATACACCTTTAGAAACTTTCAAATAAGATATTGAATATATATAATAAGATAGGTACAAATTGTAAGGAATGTTTCGAAAATCGTTAAAAAATAAAACTCCTCTTACTTGAAAAGGCGTAAGAAGTGTAACCCTGCCAGTGATATTATTTTCCGTGTGTCCTCTATCCAATGTCCAGGAGGAATTGATCATCAATAGTCCATCTTCATTGTACTGTAACAAGATATCAGGGATTATTTAAAAACCCGAAATTCGCAAAAAAGGCAAATAAATCTTAAAATATTTTATTAAGGTAACTTATTGTTTGAATAAAATGGATTTCATAAAGAGGTTACCGAAACCCAATCCTAAAATCTCCAAAACCCTAATCCTCAAAAAGTCGGCAACGCATTCGTAACTCCTCAGATGTTGCGGAGGTAATACGCAAGGTCGTTAGCCGTCTTATCAAAAAAATAAAATTATGAATGAATAAATATACAAAGAACTTCTAATTCTATGAATATGTACAATGAACTTGCACAAAAAACAACAATATTCAAATAAAATAAAAAGTAAACGATGTAAATCAAAAGTCAACGATACGGAATAACGGAACGCAGCAAAGAATGCGCACTGCGCGCTTGTCATTGACATTTGACATTAGTTTGACAGATAAAACAAAATGTCAGTTGATAAAAATATTTAGAGGTTGTGTTTGTGACCGCTGAATCGTAATAAAATATTAACAATTACTATCGATTTCCGTTTAAAAATAGCATAAACGCTATTAGTATATAATATCAAGTTGTTATTTTACTAAATAACAATGAATAACTCAGCTGCAAAAGTGAGTGAAATATTTCGCGAAGCGGGCACCGCATTCAACAAGCTGGCTGAAATGACGAAGCTGTTGCATCCAATGGGGGACTCTCAGCCTGGCGGGAAGTGGACGGACGACGAGATTGAGATGCTACGGGCTTGCGTGCACCGCTTTGCTGTGGACTTGAACAGTCTTAGCCAGCATATCAAGGGTCGTACGGTCAACCAAATACGCACTACATTGAAGAAGAAAGCGTTTGAGGATGCCAGTATTCCCGTGAGGCAAGTAACCTTGAACATGTTGAATGCTTCCGAGAACGAGGTTGATGTCGACGGGCTGAACGATGACGTCAAGCTGGAGTTCGAGTCGACAAACGACGAAGTGGCCACTTGATGTGACATGTTTAGTTTTCCCTAAGTTTGTTGTGTAACTGCACAACAAAGTTAGGCAAAGCTAAAGTGAACAGTGAAAGTGATGAAGTACACTTTAGGTTTAGTCTCTAGTGCATATTGTTAAGATATAATTGTATTTTGTCATTGTTATTAATAAATGTATTAACTCGGAGTGAGTTAACATTATAGGATTGTTTCTTTTTGTTAGTTGCGTACATGGGCTTGTTTCATCACCTTTATAATATATGTATACCTGATAAACTTTTGTAGCACATAGTTCGTACAAATCACTTCTATATTCATTCATTCTATATTCAAATTTATCTAGTACACATAGCTACTATGTGGATATTGTGAAACAAGCCCATGTATGGTATTTTTTGAGGTTAGAGTCACTGTAACTCATAATGCTACTAATGTTGCATGATGAGTTATAGCTAAGATGTAACTAGTGTTAAAATAATGGATGCACTCATGTTTATACATAAAATATTTGAATTTTAAAGGGTAATAAATTGAAGGAATGGTTAGGGCTCTGAAAATGTTTAACTTGTATTTAAGAAATCATTCTCATCCCGGATTGTTTAGCATTTTAGTAATATTTCATCTTCAAACTTTAAACAAACAGTTTCAAATTTCAAAATGTTAATTATTGTTTCATTCTGCTAAATATTTAATTTTGGAATGAGGGTAATTTTTAAATTGATGTGACCAATCACAGTCCAAGTAAATAAATTATATTTGAACTCATTGTAGGGAACCAAAAATTTTAAAATTCATGCCACAAATATATTGGTATAAAAATATTAAATACATTATTAGAGAACAATGTAAATGTTTGTAAGTAAATTAAAAATTGTGTGTATCAAATAGGATAACAAAAACATATTATAGACTTTAGAGTAGGAATTTTTAACCCTTTGACTGCCATAGTCTGGCTATAGTGAACAAACTAAACATACATACTTAAATATGAAGTTTTCTGGTTGATGATCCTTGACATTGGCAAAATAGCCTATTTTTAGTTTTTCGACTATAGCAAACCATGGCGGTCCAAAGGTAAAGCAGCTTTTTACATGGAGTAATAAGTGTTTAAGGACCTTCCCAATGCAAATTAAATTATGGTGGCCATCTGACAGACACTGGCTTAAATGTAAATAAAACTACATTTGTCATAGTTATGCAAGCAAGGTTAAGACTAAGACCTGCATAATCTAACATGTATGGCCACCATTTTAGTTATATCACTTAGATAGTATTTATTATGTATTAAGCTATGTGGGGTAATAACAAACTCCAAATAGATTTAGGTCTCTATCTAGGTTATTTAATCAGCAAGGGTCAATAGTTTTTGTATGAAGAATTTCCTAACAATTTAAATAAAGATTGTTCTTTTAATCATACAAAATTAAAATGTGTTTTTATCCACATGGCTATGCCTAACTCATTGTACATTTATAGCAGTACTATAGATGTAAATTTTATAAAAAAGTCTTCATTTTAGGAAATTTAAAGGTTCATTTCTTTATTTTTAAGGTTGGACTTGTGTTATTTTGGAAGCCAATTAAAAGGTCAAATCTCTTGTACTTTGTAAATATGTTCTTGAGGATTGTAACCTGGTACCTTGTAATATTTAGGAGTTGTGTAATAATGTAATTTAGGCATCAGTAAACAAACAACTAGGCCTCTTTAAAAACAACATAGATTTAAAGTAAGTAGAAATTAGAAGTATAGTTAACATAAAAATTATACTGTCATCTACCTATAAGTGCTTACTGCTGAGCAAGGGCCTCTTCTCGCAAGGTTTTTTGTGTGATGAGAAAAGTTGAATGTTAACCACCACACTTGCTCAAGGCGGATTGACGATTTCAAACTTATAATTAGAAGTTATTGGTCCAGGTTTTCTTACAATATGAAAACATAATAGGTTAGTAATATTGTGTAGGATTTCATGTTCTATTTCGTTCTCGTAAATCTTTGATAGCAAATGCTAAATGTCGCACTTCTCGTTACATAGAGTTTTCAATTATGTTTATCAACTTTCAAAATTAGAATTTAAAAATGTTCCATTATGTTTATATTCCTAGAGTTAAAACTCATATGTGTCTTCTCCCTCATAAACTAACAAAAGAAAAGGATGGCAACTAATGAATGAATTAAGTAATTATATTTTTTATATTAAAAAGTTTCCTTTTTTATTACAAAATGACATGTAGATTTTATATAACATCAAATTCTTGCCATCCTTTTCTTGCACTGTTTATCAGATAGAGATATTTGTTTTTTTTTTTCATTTATGAATTAACAACAATGACATTTGATTAGACAGTCTTAGACTGTGACTATTGTAGATCTGGAATCTGTTTTATATATTTGAAATAAAACTATGTAGACATAGACAACACCAGCAAATAAGTATTAATACCAACTCACTAAATGGAAGTTATTATTATTGTTTAAAGGCTTTCTCACAAAACTGTTTGACAAGGAACTCGACTATGGTTTATTTGTTTAGTTAATTAACTAAGGACTTTTTGTATTAAGACAGTCTTATGAAATACATACGATGATTTTAAATTTAGATTATTACCTTACCAATATCGATTTATGTAAAAACCTTACTGTAGGCATTTTTAGATACTATTTTAAAATAACATGCCAAGACTACATTGATTACCTTAAACAAATAGACCCTAGTTTCAAGCCGCGCTTATTTAGCGCATATTTATCAGCAGTATTGCGCGAAACGCTCAAAGTTGCGCAACCATGTGCCTTGTCCAACAGTTACTTGAGAAAGCCGTTAATCATAATATAATAATTAACTTCCTCATTTCTGCCAAAGTTGATTGATCTTCAATTCTATTACAAAAGAGATAAAGCAGAAACTTGAATTCATTAGTATTTTTAAAAGGGTTTCTTAAAAATGCGGTTTGTAGATGACGAAACAGCCTGTATTTAAAAAAGGTAAATAAAACATTGAATAGTATTTTTTTTGTTTCTTTATTTTACTCAGATTATTTACTATTCTTACCTGTATGTCGTTTTGTCTTAACTGTTTAAAGATGGTCTGTTCTATTTTTAAATTGATTGTGCTAAATTCAAATTTGAATAAATTTTTAACTTTCCAAAATAGTCATCAAACCGTAAATCTCCCGAAAAAAAAACAACCCGAAAAAATCGAGTCATCAGCCCGTAAAATATTAATAAATAGAATAATAGAAATCATTTTCGCTTAACTGAGAACTCAACAAAGTATGATAATACTTTGCTGAGTTCTCAGTTAGAGTTAGTTAGTACCTAAGATTCTTGGACACATGACTTATTTTTCTAATATACCTAGCGCGATACAAATCATGTCATTGGAATTTAAACTTTAACACATCAGTTATAGATATCAATTTGGCTTACCTGGAAACTGAGTAAGGTATCAGCGCTCTTCTTCCATATAACCCTGTGTTTGGCTATAGCGGCTGCCTTAGGTAATGTTGGTATAGTGAAGTTGACTGCCGCGTTGTTTTTATCATAGATTTTTTTCGTTTTTAATTCGATAACAATCAGGTTTATTTCAACCTTAGACTCATAGTCACGCGGTTCATTTTTGAACGTATAGTGCGATATAATCATGATATGGGAATTTAAACTTTAACAAATTGTGTATAGGTTACATTTTAACTTACCTGGAAACTGAGTAAGGTATCAGCGCTCTTCTTCCATATAACCCTGTGTTTGGCTATAGCGGCTGCCTTCGGTAGTGTCGGTATAGTGGAGTTAACTACTGCGTTGATTTCTCCATAAAACTCATTAGTTTTGAACAGATAGTCCGCTAGTAAGCTAAATGCTAAATAGTCTTCCTGCCAGTTCATACTGCCGTTTAGAGCTTGAAGATTGTCGTGGTAACGCCACCTATAGGAGGAAATTTGTTTAAAATATGTTTTAAAAAGACGTGTTTATTAAAATGTTGAGAATTTGTTAATAAGACTTCTGAAGATAATATTTTTGGTAACTTGAAAATAACGGGATGTAAAAGTTTACAACCATACCAAATATTTTCTTAATAGCTAATTAGCTATCGTGAGACGAGCTAAATTTATTGATACTAACGATTAATTCACGTGAATTAACTGAGCTCATCAGAGTCCTATTGTGGCTTGAAACTAGTAAAGCTTTTCTCAGTAAATTCACGAACCTAAGTAAGTCTTTATTTTCAATAAATTTAGTACATATCACGATAGCTACTATAACCAAAAAAAAAAAAAATATTTTTGCATTGGTTGATAACTTTTAAATCCCAGCATTAATTTCAAGTTTAATTCGGAAAGAGGATAAATTTGGTTGTTTGCATTGCTTTTTATAGTAAAAGAGCGATGTGTAACGTGCGACTTACACTATTCTTCTCAAAAGCTTTTTTTAGGGAGTCACATAATCAGGATAGTAAATTGTAATACCGATATTCCATCAGGATCTAATGTTGGTGGACTGCTAGCAAACAAATATAGATTTTGACTATACTTACATAACGTTGAAACTAGTATCTTTCCATCCAGCAAAAGGCGTGTTCATGTTGGAGAGCAAAGCGTACACGGTTTCGTTGTGAGCCTCCGAGTACATCTTAACGCGCCATAGAATGTTGGACTCGCTCGACCAGCCCATACGTATGTGCCATTGGCAGAACCAATCTGGAATATGTAGACATTATTTATAAAATTGTATTGGTTAGGTGTCATTTTTATGTGATGCGGGGGCAAACGAGATGGTATACCTGATATTAAGCAATACGGTTGTTTCCAACTAGTCAAATTCAATACTTTTATCCAAATGTCAAAAACGATACTTTTCTATGAAAATTGTATGAAACATTGAATTATGACGTCATAGCATTTTTGCGTCAAATAGATTACTTATTTTTAAAAAATTAGCTAAAAAATATCTAAAACTTAGTGTATCGATCGATCGATGAATAAAAGTAAAGTTATTTGTCACTATTTTATCGTATTAAAACGTCGAATTAATTTATTTTTGACCTAGGAAACTACCCAATTAACGCGGCCCATGGACTTTTGGGTTTTGGGGATTTAAGGATCCGGGAGGGGGGAAACATTGGGTCTTTGGTGACTCAACCACACGGCGACACAAAATGCTGTGATAGTGTAATCCAAACTTATATTAAAGTAAAGTAACTCTGTCTGTCTGGCTGTCTTTTCTTCACGCCGAAACTACTGAACCGATTTCTATGATATTTGGTACAGATATAGTTTGGAACAATTGGAACTACAGAAAGAACATTGGATAGTTTTTATACCAAAAATCTGCAGAAGGTCACCATTTCACGCGAACGAAGTCGCGGGTAAAAGCCAGTTAAGGTATAAAAGCATAATTTAAGTGTGGGAGAGACATGCTTCGGCACAAATGGGCCGACTCGGCCGGAGTGAGACCACGGCTTCACAGAAAGCCGGCGTAATAGGTCGTATGCATCATACAGAGGTTACTTGAGCCCCTAAAATGGCTGGCAACACATTTGTAATTCGTCTGGTGTCCCTGGATTCCACCGATTACTTATTATATTGTTTGTTGCCCTTATACGATACAAGCTTCCGATCGCGGCTTAGCCCGCAAGGTATGTTGATAAAAAGCAGACTGTATTATTCGAGAGCATCATCTAACTACATACTAAATTGCAACCAAACCGGTACAGCCGTTTTGCGTGAAAGAATAAAAAACAAACACACGTACCTTTTCACAAACTCACAATTATAATATTAGTAGGATGTAAAAATGTAATCCCAAAGATGTTTACACAATGTAATCTAAAAGACTCACCTCTCAACAAAAATTCGAACTCTCCGTTGACCATTCGTCCCGGGTAGTACAGTGAGACATGACCCCCGTGGTGCCAAGTACCCTTATTGTCCAGTTGTACATCTATACTGACTTTCTGCGACGGATCGCGGTTTGCATCCCAGTTGAAGGCAGCGCTTAGACGCTTTTGTCGCGCTGACACCCAACGTTGGTAGGAAAAGTGGAGGTCACGGAGTCTAGAGGGGAAAGATAAAACGTTTTTTTTATTTTTTCATTTTGATTTATAGTGTATTTCCTTATTTTAAACGTAACGTTAAAATTTTTGCTCGGATCTTCTCCATAGGAACTTCCATTTCGGAACAAGCAAACACTAAAATATAGCTTTATTAGAGGACTGACCGCCTTTTTTCTCATTTAATTGTTAACTTTCCAGTCTCTTGGTCTTATTGATATTTTTTTAGCATCACTTGGTGTTGAAAATATACGACAGATGGTGTTTTTTTTGAGGGAATATAAACTCTTATTACTTATCCTGCCTTAGGTGGGGCGCGACGGAGTGTCAGACTCTTACTGACTAAAACCCCGTCCCTTTCTTACTGTAGACTTATCATGAAAGTACAACAAACAAACTTACTGATCGAAATGTATATCCATATTGACGTTAGTATTATTACTAAGATCCGCATTCAGGTTTACGCTGTACGCTTTCCCGCCAACGTCCACTTCTACATACGTCGTGAAGTTCTGCTCTGATAGCAGAATGTACCGTATCAAAGTCCTGTAGTGTTCGTCGTTGTATTCACCCTGCGAAAAATGGATTTTGATATCTATTGTGTTTAGGATAAGAAGCATTTTGGATTAGAGTTATGCTTAAAAATAGTGCAATCGATTTTGTATTGTATTGATCTTGAGATAAAGTAAAATTTTGAACTGTGAATATTTTCTAACCCGGTATTCCCGGTCTTATGCCCGTTTTCACCAACAGCCCCTAAACAGTCACCTTAGTAAGGGCCACTTAAATTAAGCGACCGTTCAAATCATCCCTTAACTTAAATTTTGTTTCACTGTCCTAAGTGTCACCTAACTAAGAGCCCCCTAATTAGGTGACGTTTAGTGTTGAGGAACTATGCAAACAGTTATCGATAAATGAATCGATTAGACAATTCTATTGTTATTTTCGTAAATATACAACCTTAAAACAAGTAATTAACTTTTCTAACTTCAATTTATTTCGAAAAGAAGAGTCTTGAACTGGTGAATGTTAGATTAGTAACAAAAAGTTGTGTTTTTATTTTTTGGCTGTATGTTGAATGCCATAGCTTACAAAGACGCGGTGCCGGTGACATTTTGATGCCACTATCCAGTGACAGTTTCATTTCAATCATTTCGTGTATTTTCAAAAAATACCAAATTTTTATTAATTACAATGGCAGAAAAGAGGAAACGTGGTCAAAATTTTTCACTTGAAGAGAAAGAATGTTGTTTATCCTGGCTAGCGAGTCACCACATCAGTTATTAATAATTTTGCAGTACTTATTGTTTGCATATTAATAGACATACTGCTTTTTCTATTCCAGAATAGTTCGGCATCATCTCCTCCTATAATTTATCACATGAATAAATGTAAAGAAGGTTTCTAGTTAATACAATTAAAAGACTTTTGAATATCATTATTAGAGACATCATAGAAAGACGATAGGTGTGCGAACGACGGTATTCGCTGGAGGCTCAATAAATATGACACAAAGATGTATGTGTATGTGTGCGTGTCTATCCATCTTATTAAATCATGTATTATTTCATAGGAGATTCAGTAATAAATGGTTACTCGTAAGGACCTGTGTTTCTCTAAACGCCCAACCTTATAATTGAATTTTTATGTGTGTACAGTCTATACATCCTAAAACATTTGGAAATCAAGCTATTCTGTAAAATTCTTCTTTTACTATTTGTTGTTTTTCTTCGGTGTCTGGAAATTGTATGAATTCGCTTTGCCACGAACCACGATAGCGTCAGACACTCTTTTTATAATTCTACTGCAAGTAGATACACTGATGGGATTGAGTTCTGCTACAGATAATAATTGATTGCCTGTTGCATAAAATCTAAGGGCACACAGTAATTGGTTAATCGGTGCCACAGATTTATTTCTTTAAATACAAGTAAGGTTGAGCAGGGAACCTGTATCTTATGAAAAAGTCTTTTTCATCATATTTTTCAAAATCTTTCGATCTTTCACGATAAATAAGAGGTCGTCTATACAAATGTCGGTTACTTAACAATTCCATATCTTCAATTGCTTAAAATCTTCAAATAAATAGTGGTTATTATCCATTTTTATTATTTTTTATCTTATTCAGTAGGATAAAATACTGTTTGGTGATTCGCAAAAAACCTAACACTATGTGTCACTTAAACGTTACGGGGTCGTCAATTCATCCCCTAAATTATAAGGAACCCATAATGATATAGGTGACACTTAAACGTTGGTGAAAACAAAACTCGCGATAAGTGCCCCTTATATTGGCTTAAGAGACACTTAAATTTTAGGGGCTGTTGGTGAAAACGGGCATTAGACACATTACTATTACACTTAGGCACATTTGTGATTTCTTAATTTTGATATCTATTGTGTTTAGGATAAGGCGCATTTTTTATTAGAGTTATGCTTAAAATATAGGGCGAACGATTTTGTATTGTATTGATCTTGAGATAAAGTAAAATTTGGGACTGTGAAGTTTTTGTTACCCGGTTGGCCCGGTCTCTGTCCCATAGACTTGATATAATTCTTCACTCACTTACTACACTCCTTCCATTGTAGGAAATTTTAGGGAATAAAATGTAATGACGTCATAAGCCTGCACCTCAAAAAAATCCATAGAAAGATTCCTATTGTATCTATCTTTATTTAATTAACTGAGAATTGAATTTGACTAGTTTCACTAATTGTCAATTTCCATGAGAAACTTAAAAAGCCTATTAAAATTTACGATACATAAGTATCATTCTCCAAACTTCCTTTCGTTTCAAAAGTATGGTTAAGTTAGAATAATTAATGACTTACACCCGGTTTCTGAAAGGCTTGTCAACGCTAAAATTAACGAATCTCCTATTAAATCTCCAGTCAAGACATCTGATTGGTTGTTGATAATTCAGTCAACTAATCAGATGACTTGACAAGAGATTAAATTGATTTTAACATTGATCGGCCTTTCGGAAACCGGGTGTTAGACTTTGATTTTCAATAAATTGCGATACTTGGTGGCGATAGTTATATAAGATATAGTCCTTAGCGAGTTGTAAAGAACAGACGGCAGTCTATATTACATTACCTGTCCAATAAATGTGATCTGTCGGTTATCCTGCGTGAACCGCCCATCCATGGCGATGTTCTTGAAGTGCGTGCTACTGATTAACGCCTTCAGATGATGTGAAGCCATGTTTGTTTTAGACTGGTCCTGGTAGGACGCGTCCACGTTGAAGTCTACCCCCGTGAACCATACGCCGGCTGCGTTTACCTGGGATATGGGATAAGTTGTGAGGTATAGGAAATATAATTGCACGCCTAGGGTGCTTGAGTGGTTTTCTTAGGGCTTTAGCTTGTGAATTTCATTAGGTTTTTTTTTATAAATTGTGTATTATGAAAAAGTATCTAACTAAAAAAACATATCCGTAAATTGCATTAAATATGGATATTTACTTTGGAGAAAAACACGAGGAATAACAAACAAAGTTATATTTTTAAGACTTTCGATTTTGATCTCTAATAAAAAAGGACTGTTTGACATACAATTTCAAATGTTTGATAATGAGACCCTTATAGCCATCAAAGCCTTAGCTGTTAGTAGATAAAAATCTTAGGTTTTTTTGGGGTTTTCGATTTTAATCTCTATTAGGAGAAAGGAGTCTTTCTCCCTCTTCCGGTGTTTAAAAATGGGGTCGATAAGAATTTTGTAGATCGACAATTGTGTTAAGTTTTTCGCATTTCGATTTTGAGATATTTGAAAATTGGACTAATAAGGTATTTGTTTATTGTGTTGGGTTAAACGATTGTACAGATCCCCTGTTATGGGAGTACAGTGAATAAATTGTCATGATTACATTTTCAACTTTATAAAGTTTGATATAAGGTTGAAAATTTCACACATGTCTTTTTAATGTCAAAGTCAAAATATTTATGTCAATAAGAACCATTGACTACTATTTAAAATACTCACTTGGAAATCATTAGGCTGCTTCTCATGGACCTTCGTCTTTATAGAACAAGGGTGCAAGGTCGGCAGTGTCATGTTTAGTTCGGCGTCCAAATAGAGTTGGGTTCCCGGCGGGAAGAATAAGTAGCCAGAGACTAGAATCTCACGCGATTTAGGGTTGAAGTTTAGTAGAGCTAAGGCCGTGTATTTTGGACCAATCTGTTGGGGAAAAGAGGTTTTATTTTTAATATTATTGACTCGTTACTGGTCTAACAAGTTATAGCTGTATTGGTTGGGTATAGAGGTTGTAATGCCTCGCTGGTCGAGTGGTCGCTAGCATGACGTCTGGACAAGGGATCTCCGATTCTCGGGTTGGGAGAGGTATCTGGGTGATTTTTCGAGTTTTGAAATTCTGCGAAAATAGTACAGGGACGTTTTCGTGGCTCACATAGTAATATCGTTCCCCAGTTATGTATAGATGACAGTATTATGTACAATTTGACTGCTATCTGCCCTCCACAACACGCTAAATATGATACCAAAATGTATGTAATCTTTGTCGTATTTTTGCTTCTGTCAAAATCTAGAAGCAAACACTTAACATAAAAATTTTTCGGAGCAGGAGAAGAATCGCTGTGGTAGTCTTTTGTCAGCAAGAGCCTGGCGCTCCCTTTTGATCCCCTTTAGAAAACATAACTATTTTTTTTGGGACTTTTTAAATTCTGGCTGTAACTTCAGTCAGTCAAAAGTTGCAATCCTGTATATGGCCCTCACTAGGATTGTGTCCTGTGTCGTGGGTGCGTTTACAAACATACATTTACACATGTACATCAAACCCAAACTCGGAACAACAACTAGTGGACCACACAAAGAGTAGGTCCGTGGGGGAATCGACCCGCAACACGTTGCGCGGCAGCCAGTTGCACAGCCACCGCTTCAACCGTGCAGTGTTCAACAACAACAACACTGTTCAAATTATTATTATTATCAAATATCATGTTGTATTTTAGGTTAAAACCTCACCCTTATATGGGGAAACACACTAAAATTATTCAACCTTGTTATTATTAATTACATATATTTATTAAAATTACTCTAAAATTACATTTTTAAATATTACTATAAAATAAAATAAAATAATATTTAAAAATATAAAAGTAGGAGCCAGCCGGCAGCGGGAGCAAGGTCCAAGCCACCGGCAGTTTGGGCTCCAGAGACAGGAACCTCCTCACAATACGTGCCGTTTCAAGGAGGACTGCCTTCTGTATGAGGCCCTTGATCCATCCGCCTAACGTCAGCCTCTTAAGGTGGTTGTCGAGGCTTTTGGGGACTAACCCATTTGCCGACACAACTATCGGCACAACGATAGCCGAGTCCACACTCCACATGTCAACAACCTCGTGAGCTAAGTCAAGATATTTCAATTGTTTATCTTTCTCAGCTTGCACGAGGTTCTCGTCATGAGGAATGGCAACATCGATTATCGTCGTGCGACGCGCTAGTCGGTCTACCAACACTATGTCAGGCTTATTGGCTACAATAGTCCTGTCTGTGATGATAGACCGATCCCAGTACAATGTGATATGGTCTTTTTCGAGAACTGGGTCGGGCACATACTTGTAGTACGGAACCTCAGACTCAACAAGCCGGTATTTCAAAGCAAGTTGCTGATGAATAATCTTGGCCACCTGATTATGTCTGTGCAAGTATTCGCCATTAGCCAAACGACCACAGCCGGAAATAATATGCCTGATGGATTCACCGGGGCTATGACATGCCCGACATATGTCAACCGTCCCATCCTTCATAATATATTTCCGGTAGTTATTCGTGAGGATAACTTCGTCCATAATTGCACATACAAATCCTTCAGTTTCTCCGAAGAGGTTACTGAATCGTAGCCAAGCTACGGACGCTAGAAAATCTACATCGGGCCCGTGGAGAGCCCGGAAAAAGCGTCCGTGAAGCTCCTTGCTACTCCATACCGCCTTGCGGTCATTGACGCTCAGTACTACGGGTTTGCACCAGTTCTCTTTAGCCAAGGATAATGGTGTGAATCCCTTGTCCACTGTGACTACTTCTCGATGCATATCCTCGTCCACTTTTAGGAAATGTTCTCTGAGATTGCACACCTCACGGTTGTGAAGGGTCTTAGCGTTTAGAAAGCCTCGACCCCCACGCTTCCGCGGGATGTACAACCTCATGACTGATGAACGAGGGTGATGCATTCGATTTGCAGTCAACAGCGTCCGGACTCGTCTATCCAGGGCGTCAAGTTCAGTCTGAGTCCATTTAAGTATGCCAAAAGAATACATCAGGACCGGCATGACCCAACCGTTAAAGGCTCGCACCTTGTTGCCGCCTGATAACGAACTTTTCAGTACCTTATTCAGGCGGCCAAAGAAGCGCTCCTGTAAAGATTGTTTCATGTGCGGCCCATTAATACCCAATCCTTCCGACATACCCAAATACTTGTAGGTATCATTTGCGGAGAGTGATCTCAGTTTTGTGAAATCTGACAGCTCTAGGCTTTCAGATTCCACTATACCGCCTCGCTTTACATGCATGACCGCACACTTATCAACACCAAACTCCATTCTGATGGAACTACTAAAATTTTTTGTTATTTTTAGTAGTTCCACCAGCTCCTCCTTGTTTGGTGCAAACAACTTGAGGTCATCCATGTAAAGTAAGTGGGAAATAACGTGACCTTTTCTCCGCAAACGATAGCCCAGCCCTGAAGTCTCAAGTAAAGTACTGAGAGGATTCAAGGCCAAGCAGAACTACAGTGGGCTCAGACTATCACCCTGGAATATTCCTCGCACTATCCTTACAGGTTCTTCACTCCTTTGGATTTGCTTACATCCTGGGTAGGAAAGCACCGTGCTCCACTGCCTCATACATGACTGTAAGAAGGTGCGCAGAGTTGTATTAATTTCATACAACTCCAGCACCCTCATAAGCCATGTATGTGGTACGGAGTCATAAGCTTTTTTATAATCTATCCAGCATGTAGACAAATCCTTTCGAGATCGACGAACCTGCTGGCTAATGACCATATCGATGAGGAGTAGCTCCTTAGTTCCACGTGACCCCTTTCTACATCCATTCTGAGAGACAGACATGATGGAATTTTTTTCTATATGTTTTGTTATTTTTGCTCTCAAAATGGATGTAAAAAGTTTATAGACCGTTGGTAAACACGTAATCGGTCTATAATTTTTGGGTTCAGTGTAACTACCTGATTTATGGAGCAGGTGGGTAATTCCTGTAGTCAGAAACTGAGGCAACGATCCAGCTTCTAAGGCCATCTGAAAATGCGACGCTAAGCGATCGTGTGAACTGGTGAACGATTTCAGCCAAAAGTTATGCAGTCCGTCCGGCCCCGGTGATTTCCAATTGGGGACCGAACAGGCTGCATTGGCTACATCAGAGGAGGTAATGACTACCTTCTCTGGTAAAGTTTCACACTTCCGCTTAACATCGCACATCCAGTCAGCCTCCGTGTGGTTAAGAGGCACCGACCAGATGTTGCGCCAAAACGAGTTGGTAGTTTCATCGTCCGGACGCTGTCCGTTAACCACATCTTGGCTGGACCGTTCCCAGTCTCTGTACACCCACCTTTGATCGCTTTGGAACATACGATTCTGAGTATAGCGCTCTACCCTTTTTTTATATCTTCTAATACGGTTTGCCCATGCATAGATTTTCTGCTTCAGGAAGTCGATGCGCTCTGTAACACGTGTAAGGTATTCATGAGGACTAGTTTCACTAGTTTTTTATTATTAATATTATTATCTGTAAGTACTTACTCCTTCAAACTGGAACCTAGTATCAATAAGTCTTGGTCGGTGTAACGTCAGTCGCGTATCAAGCCTCATCCCGGTCAAGTGCTCAGCTCGTTGGAAACTGAACGTAAACGCTGGATCCAACTTCTTTTCGCGAGACGCACTAACGTTGAATCCTATGTCCACGTGGGATTGAGTTTTCTGCGGAGGGAAATAGAGTTAGAGATAGTTAGAAAGTTTGAATATTAATAAATAATCATCAACAGTCATAATTTAGTCAGAAGATGTTTTAACTAAGTTTGGTAATCTTTTTGTGGAGTATAGTGAAGTTAAATAATAATAATTATTATGATTTTAGAAGTTAAATATTTTAAAGTTTAATATTGGTAGAATATGTCATTGTATATTATGTTAAAATGTGAAAACCTACTAAAATCATGAATGTGAACAAAGAATGTTGTTGAGATTGTATGGATGTATGTTTGTTACTCTTTCACGCAAAATGGCTGGGTCCAATTTGGTATTATAATTATTTATTTAACTTTATATCACAGTAGTAAGTTATTTATCAACTAAGCCGCACAAATCGTTGTAATGGTTTGACTGTGGGGTCAATGAATCTCTAAACAAAGCAATTTGATGAACTTAGGATTAAGTACTCTATAGATTTATGTATGTAGATTGGTGGTACCGTGGATTAACATATATACTACTTTTTATCCACCACCCGGGAGAAGGCGACGCTAGGTAAACATACTTAAGATAATACTCACAATATTCCTCAGAACAGTATAGAAATTATACTCCGGGTACGCTGTGAATGCCATGGACAAATCTCCATAGAGATCGTGTCTGAATCCTCCCGTTTTCTCACTGTATATACCTTCAATCTTTATAGTTTGCTTGGGGTTCTTAAAGAATTGGTAATCAAATTGTAATTTGGTTCCGTGCGTAGGTCCGTTGATGGTGTAGTAGCCCAAGAGATGGCTGGCTAGTTGTTTCGTTTGGAATTCTGCCTCTATATCGCTTTGTGTCACGCTACCTTTTGTTTTTACTTTTATTACACCTGTAATTAAAGGCATTATATAGTTATCTTCAAATGGTTGAACGCCATTAATTTTTTTTTATTATTCTTTTCAAAATATTTCTGTCATTAAGAATATCGATAAGAAGAAAACAGATTTTGAAAATTTATTCCACCCCTGCTTGGTACGGGTGTTCATTTACCACGTTAACAATAAAAGGGTCACTATTTCCAAATAAATATCAGCATCTACTTTCCGAAAAAAATTTTATGTACCTTCTCTTGACATACAAAACAAAGAAGGATTGACAAAATTGGTCCAGGTGTTTTTGAGTAATGCACTTACTAACACATTTTGAGATTCAATTAAAGAGTAATAATGCTATATCTAGGTATAATGTTTTCCTCTAAAGAAGATATTAGGTTTGCACAAAATTTTACTTACCTTTAATTTAGTCAAAATACCACCTTAATACCCAAAAAATACGGTTCAAAAACAAAAACTCACCAGACAACTCAGCGACACGCTCATTATCGACGACCCAGTAAGCGTGGGGTATCCAAACGAAGCCGTATTTAATGTCGTGGCGTTTCACCGACATTACAGTATCGAACTGCTTCCTTCCATCGACGTCGAGACTGGCTGACAAGGATTTGTCATAAGGCTTGTTCTTGTACATCGCTTTAGCTTTTAACGTGCTCTTCTCTGATTGGAGGGTTAATAACGCAGTGCTAGATGTATTTGAGATCGATAGGACCGCGTTTATCATTCGTTTTTCCTGTTGAAAGAGAAAATTTTGTTATTTTTTTTCATTAATGGATGGCAATCGCTTAATTATAATTGGCCATGGACAGTCTCAATACTAAAGGAGTTACTACAAGTCCGTTGCTGGCCTCTTGGGTGGTATTACAGATTTAAAGACAAGAATTTGGGTATTATGGATAGCAGTGAGGTTACCGAAAACCCAATTCGGGAAGGATTAGGCTTCCGGTACCCCTTGAGAGGTCTTTCGAACAGAGTTGAGCTAACTTCAGAAAAAAATATTTCTGGCCATATTCTGTGCTATTTCTTTCACTTTTACAACGAAAAACCGACATAACACCACTCAAAATAAAATTCAAAATTCATCTTACCTTACTGTCAGGCGTGTCAAAGGAGAAGCTAACAACATTGCCAGTCGCATTTTTGTCCCAACGATACTCTATGGCGTATGTCTTGGCCGTAGGATCTGCTTTCTCAAGGGAGAGGATGTATTTAGCCGGTCCACTCATTAGGAAGTAGGGGGCATTACGGAGATTCGTCATGTTGGGGAACTGAAAGATTAATTGTGTATTTCAATATTGTGAAGGAGGTTTTGAAGATATTTGATTGCGTATAATGTTATCCTTAACCGTTTCACTGCCATGGTCGGTTATAACGGACAAATCAAATAATTATATATAGTTATTTATGACGTTTTTTTGTCACTGGCGAAATAGCCTACTTTTCGTTTGTCGCATACAGGGGACTATCGGTTAGAAGGTTAAAAAATCTACTGAAGTTTAACATTTTTTTGCATTTAGAATACGGTCGTAAATGTATAGATGAAAATTAATTTGACTTTTTGGCTACATTCTTTGCGTAGTGTTGTATGCAAGTTTTGTTTGGACCAGAATTGAACATTTTATTAGGTTTCCATACGAAATAATTTTTTTTGGTCCGTTCACTTTTCATTACGTATACTGTAGCTATGTATTGAACTCTTGTCAATCTCATCCTAGAATTATCACAATAAAAAACACCTGATCAAGACACGGATTTCAGTCTAAGATAAACGACATAAATACTATTTCCCCTTGTAAAGTAAGTTGTTAACTTCAATATGGTAGTAAACTTGATCATGTACCTAATGGATTTTGGTCTTTAAGACACACGACATAAATACTATTTTCCTTTGTAAACTAAGGTGTTAACTAGAACATATTGGCAGTTTACCTGATAGGAAGCGCACATCTTGATACCAATAGACTTATCGAAAGTAGACCAGCTGCACGTGTTCTGTTCTATTCTGTTCTTGTTCAGCCCTTGTTGTTGGTGCTCCTTATCACCGTGGAGGATTATCAGTTCAGATCTGAAAAATAGAAACGATTTTTTATTTAGGTGATAATATGTCGGCAAACAAGCAGAAAGATTACCTGATGGTAAGCAATCAGCGCTGTCCATGAACACTCGCAATACCAGAGGAGTTCCGAGTGCCTTGGACTTGGTGATTAGGGTTTCAGAGATTTAGGAATTGGGGAGGGGTTGGCCGACAGGGAGGATTGGGCTTCCGGTTACTTTGCTCACACGTCAAGAGTCAGAGTATTGTGATTAAGAAGTATATTATAAAAGATATATTAAGGTGTCATGGAGGCTCAGAGGTTAAGGCTCTCGCTTCTATACGGTTGTTTCCAACTAGTCAAATTCAATACTTTTATCCAAATGTCAAAAACGATACTTTTCTGTGAAAATTGTATGAAACATTGAATTATGACGTCATAGCATTTTGGCGTCAAATAGCTTACTTATTTTTAAAAAATTAGCTAAAAAATATCTAAAACTTAGTGTATCGATCGATCGATGAATAAAAGTATAGTTATTTTTAAATATTTTATCGTATTAAAACGTCGAATTAATTTATTTTTGACCTAGGAAACTACCCAATTGTATGGAGGTGAGAATTCCAAACCTAGCAAGCACAAATGTGACTTTTCCTCAGTTATTACTTTAAATGGCACAGGAAATCATCGCATCGGGAGGAACCGTGGACCTATTATTTCAAATTTAAGTTTGAATCCGCCGTATTCTCCGTGTGAGCTCTGAGCACTTTTCTCAGTAGTCGGCAGTTATAGGTTGTTGATGTGATGTGTGATAGTTTTTAACAATTTATTGGAAAGTTTCCTAGATCATAAAAAAATTGCAATGCAAAAAAGAAGGACAATGATGTACTTACTTAGCAGCAAAAATCTCCTGTTTATCAATAGGCAGTGATAGATCCAGTTTCAGAAGAGCGATTCCCCTGACTGTGAGCCTGGCTTCCACTGCAGTGGCGGTGTAGAGCCTCCAGTTGACCCTGATGCCGCTGGAGCTTAACCCCCCAGCGTCCACGCTCATTGTCGCTGCTATGTTTACTGCGACGCTGTAGGGGGGATGAAAAATAAGTGAAGGAGAGCTTAATTAATTCGTTCGATAGTGTAGTTATTAGTTGAACTAAAAATCGCGGGTTACTCACGTGTATAATATTGAGAAAAGCTCTACTAGTTTCGAACCACAGAGGGGTTCTTCCTTATGAGCAGCGTGCGCGGACGCGGGTTCGCGTTTTAGTTAATTTAATATGCCTCACGATAGTTAATATAAAACATAGTTATTAGTTAGTCAGAGCTAAGTAATACTATAAAGAGAAAATATTTGATGGATTGTAAGTTTGTTTGAATTGAAAAGATTCTGAAATAACTTGACCGATTTCAAAAATCCTTCGGCTCGAAGGCTCCACCTTTCCGTACATAAACTATGCGTATGGAGCCCCGGGGCACAGTTAGTTTTTAATAAATTTAGTTTAATTCAATATGTTACAGTAAGTATTTGACAAAACATAAAATAAGTCTAGAAAATACTACGAGGCTTCATAATTTTATCGGCAATTTTATTTGGGACAGGAAGAAAAAGCTACAAAACTTACGTTCATCACAAAAATAATACTTATGCACAGAGAATGATAAATCCAGAAATTGGCGCCATTATCTATTCTAATAATATAAAGAGGTAAAATTTGTAAGTTTGTATGTAGCCCCCTACTTCCTAATAATCTTTGGAACCGCTGGTCGGTTTGCCAAAATTCTTTCACTGATAGATAGCTAAAATGTTCCCCAGTGCTATAGGCTATAAAACATCACGCTACTATCAAATGGAGCTGTACAGCGGGTGAAACCGCGCGAGAGTTGCTATTAGGTAAACTACTAAAACTCTACTGACCTTGGTCTCAATTTCCCTTCGAAGTCCAAGTTACCAGACTCCCGATAGTTATCGAGAACAGTGCCAGACATCTTAGTATTGACGTAACTGGTGCCCATTAGGTTCATATTCATCGGAAGACCTGCACCAGTTGGTACGGAGAAGGTCGTGTCCAAGAATAGCGAGGCTTTGTTGTACGATATTTCCTGTAGACAAATGGATTTTTGCTTAACTTTTCAACTGTAATTCGAGACACAATGAAGAAGAATATGTGCGCGAACGCCGGTTTTTAGTGAATTAATTAGTTGAGAGAAGTGGATTTTGTTGTATAGTATTTTAAAGAGCATTTTTTACGTTGCTCGTCAGCGCAGGATTGCCATTGAGGCATAAAACACTAGTTTATTCATTGTGGTTATAACTATTCGTTTTCTTGTGTGTGTTTTTAAGGGGGAAAATTATCAAATATCTTAGAAAGAGTGAGAAAGTGTGGTTACTTCTCCAGTTCTAAGCCAAGGTCGAGGTACGGTACCTTATTGTGCTTGCCCAGAAACTATGTTCATGATTGGTATTAAAACGAGTGTACGAATAACGTCATGGTAAGCAACCGGTGACTGACGAACCCTTACAACATCAGAAAAGTTGCAAGTATGTTGCTTACCTTTTGAAGATAAGCGGATTTTGGGATTGGGGTGCGATGGGGAGGCGAAAAATCTTATTCTGGAATTTTACACCGAACACACTTCCAACTATATCATAGTTAAACCAGATATTACTAGTATTAATAAAAAATCTTTACGTATACTTATTTTACAGTACATTTTTCTTACCTTTCCAGACAATATCTCCAATACCCGTAGCTGTGGATTGAGCCTTGCCAATGATTTCATAATCTCCTCGTCACCTTCTGCGTTCCAGTAGGAAATTTCGTTGCCAAACACTTTGATCCCGAGCTCGGCCATTGGGAACCTTTACAAGAGAATTAATAATTATTATTTTTTTAAAAACGTTGCCCCTCACTAGGATATTCTCCTGTGCCGTGGGTGCGTTTACAAACATACAATTTCACATACACATCACACCTAAACCCGGAACAACAATTTGTGGAGCACACAAAGAGTTGTTCCGTGCGGGAATCCAACCCGCGACATTTTGCGTGGCAACCAGTTACCCAGCCACCGCGCCAACCACGCAGTCAAAGTATTAGTCATTATAAGTAATGAAAGAAAAAATTCTCCGATAACCTCCAATAACACGGCGAAACACAACATAAGTATTGCTTCACGCCGGCTTCTGTGTGGCCGTGGTATCACTCCGGTCGAGCCGACCCATTCGTTCCGCAGCATGGCTCTCCCACAATTATGATAGACTGATATTTATACAAACCTATGTTTAAGCGCTTCATTCTTGTATTCCAGGTTATCAATCTTCTCCCTGACTTCATCAGCCTCGTTGGTAGACCTGAAGAATCGGAGGTTGCTGATCTTTTCCGTCAGTTTGTTCTTGTTTAAAGGACCGTTGTTACCGAAGTAACTTTCGAAGTATCGCTCGAAACCTTCACCTCGGGCTTTCATCTAGGGAGAGAAAGATTGGATTTTAGTTTCAGAGTTATTTACAAGTGAGCGATATAGGATTTGAAAATGTCGTGGTAGCCCGGAGGTTAAGGAGCCCGCTTCTCATTCATGAGGGTGTGGGTTCGAAATCTGGCAAGTACCAATGTGATTTTTTCCGAGTTATATGTACTTTCTGTGATTATTTAGACACCACTGACGTACGGTGAAGGTAAACACCGTGAGGAAACCTGGACTTATAATTTGTAATAAAAAGTTTGAAATCGCCAACCCGCATTGTGCAATCGTGTTGATTAATGCTCTAACCCTCTCCATATGGGAAGAGGCCTTTGCTCAGCAGTGGGCACTTATAGGCTGATGATGATTTAGGATAATAAAGATAATGAATTTAGAAGCGGTTTTAAATAGATAGACTGATTGAAGAGGAAGGTATAAAATCATTCACTCGCAACGCAATGCACTCGTGCTAAACTGGGGCGGGTTGCTAGTAAATCTATACTAATATTATAAATATTATAAGTTTGTATGCAGGGGGTAATCTTTGGAACTACTGATCGGATTTGCTAAATTCTTTCGCTAATAGATAGCTACAATGTTCCTGAGTGCTGTAGGCAATAAAAAAGTTATAAATAAAGAACATTATCATCTTGAATAATAATATAGTACTCACCTCGAATAAATTGATGGACTCTCCGAACATATCTACAGTGAGATTGAGAGAGAAAGACCTAGGTATGTACGAATCCGGTGTGAACACGACGTTCGCTTCGTAGTTTCCACCTGAAGATGAAAATTTAATGAAGGTTATATAAGTCAAAATTCTCTGGATTTTTTTTAATAAAAATAATAAATTTGAATAATTTGAAGTACTAAGTATAGTGAAATATCCGTGAACGCCGTATGTCTCACGCCGTAGTTATTATGATGCGACATTGCGCAGCCAATCGCGAGGTTCGCGACGCGCTAGCTACCCAAGAATAAGAGTCCCGATGTGACTCGAAACCAGTAGAGCTCTTAGTTATGTACTCCACGTGAGTTTTATTTCATGTAGGTAAGGATTGAAAAAAAAAAGTTTAACAGTTGATTTGATAATTTAGGTGTCTTCAAGGCTAGAGTGAATAGGCTCTTAATAAACTAGTGCGCCTTACCATCAATGATTGCATCACTGCTTACCATCAGGTGGGATCGCAGTCAGCACTAGTTTATATCAAGTAAAAAAAACAGATTCATGAACTACAATGTGGTTACTACTACTACTGGTGAGAATGCCTACGGCATTAAGTCCGCCTATGTAATGTTTTGTTGCATAAAGTTTAAATAAATAAATAAATATATGTGAGTAAATTTGATTTACTTATGACAAATAGTTAAACTGTAAAAAAATATTTACCAACACACTATTTTGTTCAAACAAATGCCTATTCCTTCTAAATTGGCTTGGTGTATTTAATTTTTTTTAATAGATCAATCGGTGTTAAATTTTACTACAAAGTGGGCAGCACAAGGGAGCACTCATGTAAACCAGTCAATATTTTACAAAGAACATGTTATATTATTTGGGATTTCCATATATAGAAAGCGGGCGAACGCAGCCCGCGCCAGTCGTGCGTTAGCATGCTCGAGGTTATTGATGGTACTATACGCCTTAATTTTTTTTTATAGTATAAGTCGGCAAACTAGCAGACGGATTACCTGATGGTAAGCAATCGGCGCCGCCCATGGACACCCACAACACCAAAGGAGTTACGAGTGCGTTGCCGGCCTTTTGGGGATGGGGGTTGCGGATATAAGGATTGGGAAGGGATAGGGGAAGGGGAGGGATTGGGCCTCCGATAACCTCACTCACACGGCGAAACACAACGCTGTGGGTTGTTTCACGCCGGTATTCTGTGAGGCCGTGGTATCACTCCGGTCGAGCCGACCCATTCGTGCCGAAGCTTGGCTCTCCTATACTTAAAATTATTAACTTACCAGCGTTATACTGATCGAAGAACATTCCCTGTTCGTAGTTTCTGGAATACATTCTGAAGTCTGGACTGTCTTCTAGATGGGGGATTTGGTTTCCTGATAGTAGACCCTGGATCTCCACTCGAGATGGAAGAGAGGATTCCGCAAGATTCCTCAAGTGGCTCCAAACGAATGTTGTTACTGTTCAAAAGAAGAATGGAGAAGAATTAGTTTTTTTAAGTAGAGTGTGTGGGAGATAGAAAGAGATGAGGGAAAGAGTAGGAGATATATGAATTGGTTTAATAATAATAATGTAATAGAGTGATTGAGCTTGTTTTTTTTAGTTAAATTGTTTAGGTTAGTACCTAAAATGTTGTAAGTTTATGAATAACAATTAAGAAAAATGGACAACAAGCCTTTTTAGAAAGATATACATATTTTGATAACATGGAATTCCGTAATTACAAAGTTAAGGAAAATTCAACCTTAAAATCTTTGTAAAGCTACGTCTTATGGACTAAATTTGTGTGTGTCTTTAAACTATTTTTTACTTTAAGGGGGAGGTCAAACAAAAAGCAACCATAATACCTTGGTTTACGGGTTCATCTTGCAGTGTGTGGAAGATCTTCCTCAATGTTCCTAGGTCGGGACACTTCATTACTTGTACGTATGAAGCTAGACGTACTTCTAGGTTCATGTAGTCTGCTCTGAATGTTTCTAAGAAGTATTCACTGTGGAAAGATGTTTTGTGTTAAAAAGCTATGGAGTTGTTTGCTTTAAGTATGGAGATGGAATTATTTTATAAGGAGAGGGGCTCCTTCAGTCATTGTCATTGAAAAGGAGTTCTTAAAACAATGAAACAATGAATTTATTTTTGTAAATAGGCCTTAAAGCAACACTTTTGAACTTAAAAATATATATAAAAAATTAGATGAAGCCTACATTTCCTATCATTAAGTAACTAAGTCAAATCATTGAGTAGAATTGAATTAAATCAATGTATTATTTAGTTGGTGAAATAAGAAAATATACATTCAGTATCTATTAGACGGCTATTGGGACAATGAGGAATATGATTTGAGTTTAAAAAAAAAATATTAATATATTTTTAATATTTCTTATAACAATAACTAATGTCTGTTTAGTAAAAAAAGATTAATTCAGTACCAAGAAAGTCTTACTTCTACCCGTACTTACATAAAATAATTTGGCCCACTTTAATTAAAAAGCACGAATGTAACTTTTGAGAAATAAAATACTTTGCAAAATAATACTTCGTAATACATTACCGTGTTTCATCGCAAGTCGTCCGTCTGAAGGCGTCGACGGCCGCCAATCGAACGGGTACAGGGACTAAGCTATCGCCGATAATATTCAGTAGTTTATCAGCAAAATCCTTATTAAAGCCACCAATGTTGCCTAGAGCTTTGATCGCTATTATGATCTAGAACAAATCGTTAAATTATAATTAATAATTGTTGCAAGAGTGAGATAACTGGAGATTAGAGAATACCCAATCTCCTTCCCCCATCCCTCATCAATGGCTAAACTTCCAAAAATCCCCAAAAGGCCGGCAACGCGCTTGTATTTTCTCTGGTAAAATGGGTGTTTTTAAGCAGCGCCAATTGCTTACACTCAGGTAACCAGTTCGCTCGTCGACCGACATTTGACATTAATCTGACTGCAATTGACTGCACGGTTGGCGCGGTTACTGGGCAACTAGCTTCTGTGCAACGTGTCGCGGTTTCCATTGCCGCACGGTTGTTTCGGGTCAGGGTGTAATGTGTATGTGAAATTGGGTAGTTTGCTAGGTCTAAAATAAATTATATCGACGTTTCAATACAATAAAATATTGAAAAATAACAATACTTTTATTCATCGATCGATGGATACATTGAATTTTAGATAGTTTTTAGCAAATTTTTAAGAATGATGTAAACTATTTGACGCAAGAAAACTATGACGTTATATCATAACTTAGTTTTTCATACAAATTTCATAGAAAAGTATTGTTTTTGACATTTGCATAAAAGTATTGAATTTGAATAGTTGGAAACTACCGTATTGCATGTTTGTAAACGCACCCACAACATAGGATAATCTGTAACCATTGTATGACATAAAAATTTAGGATTTGTGACGTTGTAATATTGATTTTATTACTGTCATCGAATCTTCAATATGCGTTGCAACTATTTCATGGCACGGATGGACCGATTTGTATGACATTTGGTATGTAGAAAGGGATTTATTTATTATGACACCGTAAGCTCACAACTTATGTATACAAAGTAGTTAGAAGTATTCGTTATAGGTAGTAAGGTTTTTTCTGAATTACCGCATAGCCTTTTTATCAGGCGAAGCCGCGGGCTGAAGCTAGTATGTTCATATTAGGACGATATCTTGTTAATGATAATTTTAATTTACTTACATTATTCCTGTCCTCTCTGGTTTTGATAACACCTTTAGCAGATATCTCCTGGACTATGTTCTCGAATTCTAGTGCGATGGCTCTTGGAGTATCCTCTTCACAGCATTCTCGTACTACAATATGATAAAATAAAAATTATTTAATCTAATTTATAATACATAAAATTCTCGTGTCAAAATATTCGTTTCCATATTTCTCCGAAGCGGCTTAACCGATTGTTATGACATTTTATGATATATATTCCATAAGTCTAATATATCTTTAAATCCCAAAGTGATAAGGGATGTCTAGAAGAAATAACATAATAACATTTGGGTAGTTGTTTCAACTGCCAGGAGAAGGACATAGGATACGATAGAGTAGGTAGTGTAGGTTAGTGCATAGGGTAGGTAGATTAGGGTAGGTAGTGTACATAGAGTAGGGAGGTACGATATAGGATAGGTAGAGTAGGGTAGGTAGGGTAAGAGCTAGTTAATAAATAAAAATAATTATACTATCACACAATGCTTTAACGGTATTTGGGGGGGGGGGGGGGGGGGTGTAATTTTCTTTTTCAATAAATGTATTTAATTTGAGTAGTTGGAAACTATCGAAAAACGGAAACTTTTTCGATCGTTGCGGTGGACCAACGCAACGGTCGACAAAGATTACCAGTCGGTTACTGATGCCGATTTTTATTTTCTTTAATGTAATTATTATACTATTTCAATTAAATAATAAGGTACAATACTTACATTCCTTCCCGCTATGTTTGCAATACGAATGTACCATCGACGATACGGTGAAACTGATCACTTTGTCGTTCTTTTGTTTTTGTAGTAATTCTAGCATACTGTTCAACATCTGTTTCTTTGGTCTGAAATGGGATTATGAACTTTATATAATACAGCAATAAAACATTCAAAAACCAACCCTACTACGTTCAAAATAAGGTACAAACTTACCAAATACAATAAAACATTCAAAAATCTACCCTATTACGTTCAAAATAAGGTACAAACTCCAAACTCACCGTGGTATCATAGCCATGGACATAAGCCATTCATGCCTGGTGTCGTCTTCGACGGCGTTCTTCATGATCATGTCTTTGATGAGTTCTACAGAGCCGGGGCTGGCGATGTAGGGGAGAGCGTCTAGTATATGTTTGCTGGGGGGCGAAAGAAAAAATAAAATAAATAACCTATTTATGAATGACACGAAAAATCATCCAAAATATTTTTTTTTATATTCACCTACCTATGTATGTTCACCTATTTTTTAATGGCATGAAAAGTAGTCAACCTTTTTTTAAATTATTGTTGTTTTACCTCTTTGAGTCTTTGATACAATATTCAATTTAAAATAAATTAAGCTGCAAAGCTTCGAAGTTCACCCGTAAAATACCTTTAATTCTATAAAATTTTCTTTATTTAATTATAAAAATTTGACAAAGGTTACCTTTTACCACAGTATACATTTTATTTTTAGTAGTTTTCTATTTGTTTTCCTTGAAAACGAACCATAATTCTTTTATATTAACTGTGTGAATTATAAATTAAGAAACTATACGAACCGTAATATAAAATAATTGCCTTTATCCTACACTATTTTGTGACTAGAACTACCCAATCTCGATCCGCAAAACAAATGTAAAAAAACAAATGTACTTACGTAGCAGATTTACAAATAGTAGGAGCGCGGGCCAATAACTGCGAGAGGGCGGGGTAGTGCAGGGGGCGCGCGGACCTCACGAGTCGCCCCCACAGACCCACCGTCGACCCACTGTCCATATTCTCATCTACATTCAAAGAATGGTGGTTCTCCGTTGTCGTATCTTTTACCCTGGAAATATAGTAATAATAATAATATGTCCAATTTCACTTATATTAGAGTTGTTCAAAGGGCCTCTGCGAGGTGGCTTCGGCCCCTCGTACGCCTTCCAAAAGTCCGGGACCCTATGGTCCCGTTAATGAAATCGAAGATACAAATAATAATATTTCATTTAGATTAAAGTTGGCTTCGGTCCCTTGTACGCCTCCCAAATGACCAGGACCCTGTGGTCCCGTGGATGGACACTCAACATTGTGAGTAATATACCCCATAACTTACAATTTTAGATTAATGTAAAAATATTTTTATTATATATAATTTTGCTGTACGTGTACATGTCATTGAACTCCTCCTAAACGGCTTGACCGATTTAAATGAATTATTCTGTATGCGTTTCAGTAGCGCCCTGGATGGTTTAGATTCACAAAACAGTCCGGTAGATGGCGCTGATTACTTGCCAAAGCATGTGGTCTCAGAAACGGCCCTAACGATTTCGCGGCAATTTGATATATAGGGGTTTTCGGGGAGGGCCCGCAGATGTATAATAAAAAAAAACACAATAAAAACCGTGTAAGTAATATAAACCGGAATTACAAGAAATATTTTACATTTAAAATTATGTATACTTACATGCATAACAGCTTGAGCACTTCTCTGGCAGACTTGAGGCCTCCGGTGTCATCTCCAACGTAGACGATGTGATGATGCAACAAGTTCGAGCGACGAGGTATCACTACCCAGGCTACAAAACAACGAAACAATGAAATAAATTGTTTTTGCGGTTCGACAGCTCGCGCCGAGACGCATCTTTTGATATATCGACAATTTTTTTTAAAATAGCCCATTTTCTGTTCCTTATTCAAACAGTTTGGTAGTAAAATCTACCTTAGCAGATGTCATAGGTCGTCAAACGAGTAGATGGATTACTTGATGATGGATGCTGGCTGTCCTTGGACAATCGCAATACTAAAGGAGTTACTACAAGTGCGTTGCCGCCGGCGGGATTTGAAAATTGGGAGTTTTTATATAAAAACTGCCAAAACAAAGTGTGGGAGAGCCAAGCTTCGGCACGAATGGGTCGGCTCGACCGGAGTGATACCACGGCCTCACAAACAACCACAGCGTTGTTTCACCGTGTGAGTAAGGTTACCGGAGGCCCAATCCCCTTCCCCTACCCCTTTCCGATCCTTTTATCCGCAACCCCTATCTCCCAAAAGGCCGGCAACGCACTCGTAACTCATTTGGTGTTGCGGGTGTCCATGGGCGGCGCCGATTGCTTACCATTAGGTAATCCGTCAACTCGTTTGCCGACTTATACCAAAAAAAATATATTTTTTTGTCCTTAATTTTTTTATTAATGGAAACAAGATTCACCAAAAGTCATTTCAAGGCCATCCATTCATATGTATAACTTTGTGTTAAAACTTTTGTGCTTAATCTTGTAACTCCCTCACCCACCTCTTTTAATAACTGTAAGATTTCCGTTGAAAATTAAAGAAAAAGTTTTGTTCCAAACTTAAAAAAAATATCTTACCTTTAGGCTGTGATTCAATGACTTCAGTATCCGTCTTATTAACTTCCCTCATTAACACCAGATCTTGTACCACAGTGGTCATAGCGCCCGAGTTCTTCCCAGAGAACGGCTCGAAGAGATGTCTCTCGCGGCAGGTGACTGCCTTGTAAATGTGATGGTCTACCGTGATACGGCACTTGCTTTCCGATTTTAATACGGGCCATGTTTGGAATTTCTGTAGAAAATCAAGTTCAAATACTAAGATGAGTCTGATCTTTAGGTATTTCACGGAGAAATTACAGTAACGGTGATCCCTACAAAATTAAGCCAACTTTGATTTTTTCAAAAGCATGGTTATCCAGTGTTTTCCAACAAGTCAAGGTCCAATCATTAATTTCAATTAGATTATTACAGGCACTTTTGAACATCAACCAAAGTGTAGTGTAGTGTAAGCGTAGCTGGTACCCGGCACTCTTGTTAAGAACCTTTAGTAAAATTATTGAAAAAAGGCTGTCTTAACATGCATTAGAGTAATTGCGACCACCGCCAATAAGTGTGGGACAGTCACACTTAGGCACAAATGAGCCGGCTCAACAGGAGCACAATACCACAGCCTCACAGAAAACCGGTGTGAAACAAACAGTGTTGTGTTTCGCCGTGTAAGTGAGATTATCGGAGGCCCAATCCTTTCCCTACTCAATCCTTAAATATCTAAAAACCTAATTCTCAAAAGGACAGCAACGCTTCGCAACTTCTTTGGTGTTTTTATCACAAAAAAGGTCATTTAACTTGGAAAAAGTTACTTGCTAGGTTTCGAACCTTCATGGCATGAGAAGCGGGGGCCTTTACCACAATAGTTACAACAATGAAAATAATACTTACACTCTGAAAGTCATATCTCACAGTTTGCAGTATAGACATATACTTGTATCGGTTGGTACATTGTGAAAGATCCCTTGTTTTCACTAGGATAAGGCTCGTATTCTCTTGGCCGCGGACCGTGTAGTCTACGTTGCATGTGCCGTGGATGTCTTGCTGTGGAGAAAAAGATAGAAATATAATTTAAAACTGTGTCTTTTATATACATGAAAGCGTGCATGCATAAAATAGAGACGTATTTAATATTATAGGCGAGGTTATTACCATACAGGTATACCATACCATCGGTTTCCATTAAAAACTGTTCATCATTCATCATGTATCACTGAGAATTTTCGAGAATCGGTAAAACCTAATAGGTAATTTATAGGTACTTAAAAACCTCCAACTTTTATTTATATATTTTTTTGTCAGACCGAAATCATTTCATGACTTCTCTCCTCCAGGGTGAGGCGAGAGGCAGTGTCAGACTCTTACTGACTAAAAACCAACCCCGTTCAATCTCCTGCTGTATGACCGGCCGCGGTTACTAATTACGTTTGATCCGCAACTACTTGTAATTATTATGATGCTAATTTTGATTCATGATAGATATTTTTTTTTATATTGAACTGTAGTGATAAGAAATTTATCAAGCAAACTAACCTATCATAGCATATTATATAGTGTTCCAAATAAAACCTATTTATACCTCAACTCCTTTGAAGTTGATATCAAATCTCTTCATGGTGTTCTGAAAGAGTGTCAAGATGGCTCTCTTGAAGTTGAGTACCCAGTCCTCCTCCGCTGGCTCCGGACATATCTCCGACACGACACCATCGTGGAATGCGAAACTGAAAAAAAAAATAAAAATACTTTTTTGAAAATATGGTAGTTTCCAACTAGTCTAACTAGTTTACAATTTTTATTGAAATGCTAAAAACGATAGATATTTTTTTTTCTATGACATCTGTATGAGATAGCAAGATGTGACAGTATAACTCTAAAGTGTATCGTCAAATCAATAAATGCGAGTTATCAATAATCCTTATGATTATATTTTAATAATTCCGAACAGCGTTTTCACCTCTAATACCAGGTTAAAAATCCTGTGTTATTCCAAACTATCACATCTCTTTTTGTGCAAAATTTTATCCATCAATCAAACATCCATACATACCTAAAAGCATCCACATTTGTAATATAAAAAATATCAATCATGGTAATTCGAGAAACAATAGATATTGGGTATTGATTAATTAATAAGCTATCTTACCGCAAATCAAAAAGTGAAACAGCATGAATGAACTTTTCAGCTCTTTCCACAGGGTAATTCTCATCTTGATCTATTAAGGTGACATCTGTCAGCTGCAGAAGACCCTCACATGGTGTTATAAATTGAATTTTAGGCTGAAACAGATAAAGTTTGTATTTCAATGACTCACTATATTGTAGTTTGATAGTGTGATAACCTTTGAGAGGAGGTATGATGATATAATATGGAACTTCCATTTCAACTATATCTATTTATACTTTTTAAAGAAACAGATTTTATCACAAGTTTTATGCTGTGATATATTGTAACAATAGATGAAGAAAATATTTTAAAACTAGCTACATTCTCGCGCGGTTTCACCCTCTGCTCTGCTCCTACAGATCGTAGTGTGATGTTTTATAGCCTATAGCCTCCCTTGATAAAAGGACTAACAAACAAAAGAATAGTTCAATTTGATACAGTACTTCCGGAGATTAGCCCATTCAAACAAACAAATAAACTCTTCAGCTTTATAACATTATATAAGTAAAAATTAATCATAATGAACACTACACAATTATAGCGAGATTATCACTGAATAATTATGGCCAAAATTCAAACGGACTAACACATTTTTGTAATTTGTTGAATAGTTTGTACTTTTATTTGTATATGTTGTATTTTTAACAGTTTTTAGAGATTCTTGAGATCATCACTGTGACAACATACTCAAGCCCCTTATGTGTATGACCATATTTTTTTTTATTCTTGAAGTACTGTCAGCAAATAGGTGTTATTGAAAAGTGTGAGAAACGGACTTACCACAGCCCTAACATCCAATGTGGAGCGGTTGTTACTGGAGCCAGCAAAGTATGTCTCAACATTAACTTTGTACTCATAGTGGTAAATTACATCTAGTAAATACTTAAACTTCTCTGGCTCTGAAAATAGATAAATTATTTATTAAAAATAACATAATAATAATGTGAGTTACCTAAGAAAAGTTCGACTAGTTTCAAGTATTAATAGGATTCTTATTATTCATGGGCAGCACTTCAACAGATATGTCAAGTAAGACATTATTTTCAATTTATTTAGTCATTGTTATGATAAATAAAAATTGATCAAGTTTATAAGGAAGAAATCAACCTTCTGACTTCGACTTTCTCTATTTTCTGCTGCATTTACTTTCTTTAAGATTTGTATGTGTGTGCAAAAAAAAAACAATACTAATAGCAACACAATGTTATTATTGAAGCGACAATTGAAGCATATTTTAATTACATAATAATGTAAAATTGTTCAGTGAAATTAAAAATATGTTCTTTAAAGCAATCTGAAATATACTAAAACTTTTAAAGATTTTCGAATAAGTATCCATTTAAAAATCTTTTAAAAACAGTACGATTATTAATTGTTGGAGTGAACTATTTAACTTTTATTATCCATAAAGGTTAATGGTGGGCTAGCAGTTAAAAATAAAACTTAAAAGTTCAAAACAAAAACTTACCGGCACATGTCGGTGATCCACATATGTACGGATCTTTCAGGGAATCTGGGAAAAGAAATGGACGTTTAAATTGATTATACTAAACCAAATATTCTATTTCAAATCATGTATTCTGCTATTCTTTTAAATAAATTCCGATTGTTTACAAAACAAACTGAACAAAATCAGTGTCAAGTGACAAATTGGAATTGTTCTGTCAAACTGATTTGACACTGAGGGAAACGTTTCTTATTACGCATATTATTTATAGTAAGTAAGTAAGTAAGTAAGTAATAATCTGGATTAGACCTTAGTCTATGTAATTTAGAGCTTATCATTTAGTTTACATCTAGTAAGAGTAAATAAAATAACAAAGTATATGCCAGGGACAGATCTATACCATATCGTAGATATGTACATCCTTCATTAAAGTATGAACTAATAAACATTAAAGACATAATAATGTGTCACAAGTCACACTGTTATCTCGTGAACCTGGTCCATTGACTATTTACATCGATTTAATCACCCTCATTGAGAATAAATGAACGTATGTACCTACACGTGTTCATTTAGAATTTGTGCCCTTTATTTTATTGTCAAATACGGAATAATAAAGGTCAAACTCTATTTGATAAACCCACGCAAATAGGCCTTAAATAATTTAAGTGACGTCGCAAAGTCAGATTTAAATAGGTATATTTCTTATTTTAATTCCAAGCCTTTACTTAGTGTGTAGTCCTCTATTTATACTTTTTGTGAATAAGTTATAAATTCGTTAGACAAGGAATTCATTTTATTCATAATGTATTTTACAATTTTAATTTGATATTTATGTTCAGCAGAAGTTAGCTTGTGGATTTTAAGGAGATGAAGGGCTGAAGGTCAATTTATATTAGATCAGTCTTAGGGAGGGGGGCCCTAAGACTGATCTTATGACACCCACAGAAAGGGTTTTAGCGCAGACCACAAACCGCAATCTCTTTTTTATAAAAATTACATTAAATCAGTCTACATAAAGTAGGTATATTTATACGTATTTCACACATTATTCTTGTAAGTACCGAACCAAAAGCTTAAGAAAACACTAGACTCAAGAAGATTAGGTACTTTAATAAATAGTCACTTTCACAGCAAAAGTTGACGTAAAATGTATGGGGAGAGGCCTATGTCTCTGGTCGTAATTTATGTTGTGACATAAATCAAGGGATGATACGAACAGATTTAGGTACTGGTACATACTAGGAGACGAGATAAATAGTGAATTTTAGTGATCCTTACTTTGACCTTTTTAGATTGTTGGCTTTATTAAACCACTTAAAATTAATAGGTGGGTAATGGACTCTATATTTATTTTGGGATAGGTGGCAAATAAGTATCCTTATCAGTGTATCAATGACGTCTATGGGCACCCACAACATCAAAGGAACACAAGGGCGTAGCCCGCCTTTTAAAAATAAATTTGTATTGGTGTGGATATAGAAGACGGCTTTTTATATTTTTAATCTTAGAGGCATAGACAAGGCCTAGTTAATTTTTTTGACCTAAGGGCATGCCTATTGTTTTATTATGCCTGGCCAATCTATTAATTCAGATTTTGCTCTGTTGTTGAGAAAATCCCAATAATATTTAATTAGATTCATACTTTTGACGATTCTACATATTTTTTGTTGCTACTTTAGAAGGAAAAAATCTTTTGCTGCTTCCTACATTAGGAAGATAATGTTGTTTAGGTCAAACCACATTTCTAAAGGAGTGATAGTGAATGTTTTTTACAATATCCGTTTCCCTCATAAATAACAATGAATTTTAATGAGTAATAGTTTTAGATCCGAAACAAACAAAATGATGTGACGAAGGAAGTATAACAAAACATACCTACGTTTCGCTTGATAAAGATAACATTATTCCGAGAATAGAGGCTGTTTTGTTTGTCTAAGTTTTAATTAAAATATCTGAGTATAAGTTTCGTTTGTGTTTTGTGAGCCATGGATAGCAAATAGATAAGTTATTCATATTTCACTGAATTATTTCTAATCAATAGGCTGGTTGGTTTTATGGCCAAAATTAGTTTAATGGAGTTTCATTGGATGATTGTCTTAAAGTATTTTAGGATTGAGGGATTTGGCATGGCCTCGGCGGAACTTAGATTTCACCAACTATGTTATATTTATTTTATCAGTAAGTTGATTTTACAAGATATTTAATTAACAGCCTAGCTTGTTTAGCTAGTATCATTCTGGCAGCTGTTTATTTTTGACGGCAATTCGATTTCTGTGCGCTTCACAGTTTTAACCTAATCTAACCTACCATTCTGGTAGCAACTCGGTTTTCAAGTCAATCCATTCACCCCTCAACTTACAGCTGGAATGAGAAATCTTTCCATTGAATCAAACATCTAGTCATTTAGGCCGTTGGTTGGATGGCTTATTTAACTATTTATCTGCGACCTATCCATCAGATGTTATTTTTACTTTTGTCATATGTTATCAATAAAAAAATATTGTAGGTACTCTATGTTCACAATGTAAATGAATTTTGAATTTAGAATTTTGTCTCTATCAAATTTGCAGAGCCGTTGATACCACAGAGTACACAAGATGCGATATTGGCAATACTCGTGGTACCTACATAATAATATCCATAAACAACCATAAGTAATATTTCGGCCCAATGAATCAGAGTTCATTTCAAAACATTGAAATGTGTGACAAGCGACGTCGGGACAGTCAGACGGATCAATTTAGTTATTAATCCCATGCCCATCGACACACCAACACACGGACGTACAAACGAGATGAAAGTAAAACAACAGTTTTTTCGAAATGAGTTTTAGTACTTCTGAATTTGAATTTTAGAAACAGTTTTTTATACTTATCTTTGTTTACTGGAACTTGAAAATCGTGATGAAGTACCTATTGGGTAATAGCTTATAGGATTATTTTCCCATGACATACTTTAGATGCAGATTCGAAATCACAATTTTCTTTTTAAACACCTATTTCTCTCTTTGCTTAAGTCCAGTTAAAATCGGTATTCGCAACACCCAGCTAAGGCATCAGCGCGCAAACTAAAAAGGTGGAGAGAGGTGATGCGGCAAGGAGGTTCGTTGTCTCCCTGAAGATCGTGCTATAGTTGCGATACCCAAAGGACACTAATATAAAGAGACCATAATCTACTTTATAAAATAAAAATAAGTCGGGTTCGTGCATTCTTTAGTTTTTGAATTCATTGGAAAGCTCTCGGTCTTCTTGAGGTTTATAGCAAAGATATCTGGAAATGTCAACAGTAAATCAGGTAAATTTATTTATCACACACAGCGCCAACTTTTTGAAATACACCTGGTGGCGAAACGGAATGCTGATTTGCTAGTATGGTTTTAAATTTTCATTAGACTAGCAAATTCATTCAAGTTTAAACACTAATTAATAAAACTGCGCAATAAATACACTTGATTCCGACCGAAGTTCGACCAATAAGCGTCTAGGTATTAGGCAATAAAGACGTTAGCACTAACTAAGACCTAAGGCCGACTAATTAAACAAGTCTTCTTTGTGAGCTCGTAAACAATACAGTGCCTAATGAGAGTCGACTATGGCTAAGAACTCACGGAGCGATTTTGAACCGTGCCCGCCGCGGTAGCGGAACTTAGGTTTTATTTCCAAACTCACGAGACCGGTTATTTGCGCGGTTACACAGCCGCCGCGGTTACGATCATCGCCCGCAAACGTGGCGGGCGATGATCGCAAGATTGCAAGACGGGCGGTTAACGATCAGTTCAGGTCCAGACCGCCATGGACACACACCAGAAACGTGCTGTTGCGTTATATTTACTTCACAAAAGACCCGCCGGCCCCCGCGGTCGCTCGCCAACCGATCGCAAAGCGCGCGGGTGCCACCCGCCGAGGCTGCGGGTAACCGCGGCCCGCGCGATTCTACTAGTTGCCCGCCGGTACAGCGGGAGCCGCATACAACCGCGTACACCGCGGGCGTAAAACGCGTCGTGAAATGTGCTTTAATTTTTTATATATATATTTGAATTTTACAGAAGCTGCGGGCCCGCAACCGCAGCGGACGCGGGCGAAAATCGCTCCGTGAGTTCTTAGCCTATGTTCGGTCTGGCATTGAGTCTTAAGCAAGCTAAATCAATTCACTAATGTTTCACCTACATTGCCTAATAAACTGAGTAATACCTAACTATTATAAAGAAGAAAGTGTAGGAGAGACATGCTTCGGCACGAATGGGTCGGCTCGGAGTGATATAACAGCAACAGCCTCAGAGAATACGGACGTGACACTACGCTTAAATTGTATTCCACCAACCTCAATCACCAAAACCGAAAAATATCTATTCAATGCAACAAATCTGTCTTTTATGAGAAAGGTTGGCAAACGTGCACATGTACACTTGTAATACCTCAGGAGTTGCACATGTTGCAGGCCTTTTGGGGATTAGAGTTTTGAAGATTTAGGGATTGGGGGAGAAGAAGAAGTATTGAGCCTCCGGTAACCTGACTCACTCTGGTCTTAAGAACTTAAGAAATAAGCAAGCTATTTGACGCAAAAATACTATGACTCAGTTTTTCATACAAATTTCATAGAAAAGTATCGTTATTGACATTTGGATAAAAGTATTGAATTTGACTAGTTGGAAACTACCGTATTTGTTATCCCAATATTCCTGCAGGATCAAGATCTGCTCGAGAGTAATCTTTTAAAAGCCACTCGAAGCCGCAATCGGAAAAGGAGTTCTAGTTACTTAATAATATCTTAAATGTATTGTTTTCTAGATTTACTGTGGGTGTAGTGAAGGATTTTACGTTCAAGAAGGTTTGAGTTACGAAATATCTTTAGATTTAGATGCAGCTGCATAGAGCAATTGAAATAGGTTAAGTTTCGATAGTCTTGTTTGGCTTCAGGACTCTTTACTATTTGAAGGGAAAACCATACAATGACATCTTACACCCTGAGTGATGCGAAAAGGATTGTCAGACTGTGAATCGCGTTTTTCTCCCGCTCAGTTGAAGGATTCTTAAGGTGTGAAAGAGATAGTTTAAAGGCAGGATGACACGATGGTTTTGGAAAAAAACAACAGTCTGTTGGTGGTGGTGGTGTGTGCACAAAGTCTAATACGTTCATGTAAAAACTAATTGAATCAATTTAAATATTTTTTACAAAATTACTTAGATATACTTATTGCGATGAAAAAATTAATTCAAAAACTTGAATTACTTATGCAATTCATTTTCTATTCTAAATATTTACTTATCTACGTTAAAATTAAAAGTTTTTTTTATTAAATAAACGTTAGAGATATTTTAATAGTGATTTAATTAAATAATATTTTAGAATGGATTCCATTTATTTGCGAACGTGCGGTTTCGATACGAATTCATTTCGAAGTTTACAAATGAGTTTTAGGGCTAGATTTGGTAGGACAAATATTTGAGGTTATGGTGTATTATTAGAAAGATAAGTAGAGGTTAAACTATATAACGTAGGATCTATCTACCAGTTTTTTATTGACAACTAACTGCTCTAGAGGGGTTTCATCCGCTGCTTAGCTCCATTTGATCGTAGCGTGATGCTTTATAGTCTGTAGAAAAATCACCATTTCCGAACGTGAAATAAAAAACAAATATGTTGTCGGGTATAAATTTAATATTAGTAAGTATCAGTATTCAAAAGAATTACCAACTAGAAGTTTATTAAGCACCTCAAAAGTAAAATGATATTTATTTTGCGAATGGATTACCATCGATAGATGAACTTAGGCCAACAATTTCTATCAGACTATTCTGAGAAATGCCGAAGTTTATTAGTTCATGTAGGTTAGTTTATTTGTTCCTTGCGTCATATTTATTTGCATAGCGGGCGCAAGTGTGCACTATTGCAGAGTCACCTTATACTAACTCATAATAAATTATAATTCTATTATCTTAAATAATTCTTTATCGAATAAAATTTGATTCAACAGAGATTTAATGATAAGATTTCAAATATTAAAAGTGAGATACAGTTTGTTCATTATATTTCTGTCATTTTTTTAATCTGTAATAGACTAGTTTACAGAAGTGGTACTGCACTTAATGATTGGGATGTACGATTCATCAAGGATCCGCATAGGTCGAATACCAATGTGTATTTACAAAAAAATAACATTATTCCAAATGTAGAGGAGAGGAGAGCGGTGGACACGTTACATTCGATTTTTTCTTTTTTATTCGGCCTATTGGGGATTAGAGTTTTGGAGACTGAGTGATTGGGGGAGAGGAATAAGTATTGGGCCTCGACTAACCTCACTCCCATTTGGAAATACAAAGCTGATTTTGACCCTTATTATATTTTATTTTGACTCTTAAGGTATTTTAATGATATTTGATTAGATAACTTATTTTGTGATTCATACCTTGAGCTCTAATTAAGCGATGTGGTCTTACTGTTTACTATGTATCTATGTAGGCTTAGATTTCAACCACAACCGCTAAGGCTGAGTCTAAGGCGTCCTTGCTAGAGTCTGTCACTTTGAGGCCGTTATTAAACATTAAGACGCCATTGCTTTATACATTTTGTATGAGAATGGAATACGTAATTGGTGAGTTTTTGGTATTGAAAGTGAATTAAAAATGTCATTCATCAGCCCTAGAATACGGTAGTTTCCAATTAGTCAAATTCAATACTTTTATCCAAATGACAAAAACGATACTTTTCAATGAAATTTTGAATGGTGACGTTGGTATTTTTGCGTCAAAAAGCTTACTTATTTTTTAAAAGTTTGATAAAATTAATACAAATTTCGTATATCGTCAAATCGATGTCAGATGATCGTATAAATTTTTTTTAAATATTTTATTGTATTGAAACGTCGAATTAAATTATTTTTGTCTTAAAGAGGTCCCGGACTTCTTACAATTTACCTAGGAATCAATGAAACAATGAATTTATTTTTGCAAATAGGCCATAAAACGGCACTTTTACACGTCAAATTATAAGTGAAAAACTAGATGAAGCCGGCATTTCCTATCTGACTACTCTGAGAAGAAATGCCGAAACAAACTCAGAGGTCAGTCTCTTTTCAAGTCCAGACAATGTAAAATAACACAATGTGAGAGTCATTATTAATTTTTCATATAGCCTCACAAAACCTTTGAAGAGAGGTTCGAGTGTGGTGTTTTTAATGTATGTGTAACATTATTTGTTATTATTTGATTTCATATGCCTGCCGGCAGACTGTTCAATAGATATGGAAGGTACTTATTTTCTCTTCTTGACTCTAGCTACTCTAAATCTACCAGCAGCCATGGATCGATAAATATGTAACTTATAATTTCTATTTTAAATCTCTATTCCACTATGAGCAAGCGTGGTGATTAATGCTCAAACGTTTGCGTGTGAGAACCTCTTCTCACACGCAAACGGTGAACAAATTCCTCAATTTGCTCAGCAGTGAGCTGAATGTTGAAGAAAATCAACACATAATTTAGGTATCCTAAAGGTAAGTTAGTATAAAGTACCTTTTCATAAAGATATTCAGTTCGACATCATTAAAATAATTAGGTAACGAAGTATTGGTGATTATGTGTCACTGCATAAACTAAGTAATAAATTAATGTGTTTACTTTAGTTATTATCAAATAAAGACACGTGTCCCAATCCCTAAGCAGTATCTAGAGGATGAGATTTTTAGCCGAAGCAAAACTTTAACCGATTTTTTTTGAGCAAGAAAAATTATCAATTAACTTCTCCCGCCCTGGATTGGGCGAAAGAAAGTGTCAGACTGTTACTGACTAAAAACCCTCGTTCCTTCTCCCTCTCAAGACCAAGGCCGTAACCCTGGCTGACCTCCTCGGTTTCAATGAGTACAACGGTCACGGTCCAAAGTAAGAGAAGGAACGGGGTTTTTAGTCAGTGAAAGTCTGTCACCTCTCTACATACTCGCAAGAGAAGTCATTTGATAATATTGCCACATCAAAAAAAATTATAACATTTCACCCATGCAACGGAGAATGAGCCATTAGGTTAAACACTAGACACATTTATTTCTAGATCATGTGTTTTTAGACAGAAAATCCAAAAAATCTCGATACGGAACAGAACTCGACACCTTCTGCTCGATAAGATAAATATCAGAAGAAGAATAAAAAAAGGAAGTATTCAATTCTAAACATAATTATATGCTTCATAGATCATACTTTAGATTCTCTACAAACGAACTTATACATTTATTTAATAACCTAAGCAACCTTATATAATAGAAACTTATCATGTAACACATATTCTTATTATCAAATTTTAAGAAGTTCATGAATGAATGAACAATAAAAAGGGATACGGTGATGCATGGTGAATGAGTGACGATAAATTTGTACCAAATTATGAAAGAAAAATAACAACATAATAACGTATAATAAATAAAAAAATCTGTTAAAAATACAATTAAATTGAATTGCTTATAATAGGGCAAAAAGATAAACGATATCCGGATATTATTTGCTCAAGATTTATACATTATTAATAAGAACCATCCTGGAGTAACATCAAAAGTTTTACGAAAAACACATTTCAATAAACTAATAGATAATAAAAATCAAGATGAAACATCACTTACTAGGCGATCCGAAAACAGTTCCCGTTGCGCACAAACACAAAAAAATCACACACAAAATCATTTTGTAATTCAAACCATGTTAGACCTTCCTGTTCGCATGTCAATCACCAAATGAAGGCGACAGAAGTGTCTTATCGTGGGGTCAAAATATGGGGTCGGTACAAACAATAATTATCAACTATTATCAACCTAACGATGTTATTAATTACAATTTGTTTCAGAATATTGGACGATGCAAATCGTACTGGTTAGTGGCTACTAAGAGGGAACTAACAACGGATATACGGGTTCATATTGCGCTGCGTCAGTGTGTGTGAGTTTGGGACCCGTATGTTTATGACGCTGATTTTTTGTCCCGTTCATAACATTATGCTGTTCGTTTTAATATTATTATTAGTGACAGTTGTAAGGATTAATGTGTTTGTGTTGTCTTTTCGCAGAAACTGCTTAATGCGTTTTGATGATGTTTGGTTTTTTTTATTGAATATTAGGTAGGTGATTAAGTAATTGGATTATTGTTTTAGTAACATATTTAATGATGCTTAAATCAGAAAAATAATTAATGAAAGAAGTGCTATAAGTAAATAAAATTAGGTATCAATTTTTTATGGTATAAGTCGGAAAACGAGTAGACGGATTACCTGATGGTAAGCAATCGGCGCCACTCATGGACATCCGCAACACCAAATGAGTTACGAGTGCGTTGCCGGCCTTTTGGGGATAGGGGTTGCGGATAAAAGGAACGGGAAGGGATAGGGGAAGGGGAGGGATTGGGCCTCCGGTAACCTCACTCACACGGCGAAACACAACGCTGGGTTGTTTCACGCCGGTATTCTGTGAGGCCGTGGTATCACTCCGGTCGAACCGACCCATTCGTGCCGAAGCTTGGCTCTCCCACAATATAAAATTAGTAAATATTTCCTAATTTAAGTTATTTTATTCGGCTAATCGATTGTAGATCATCCATTTGAAGCTACTGAACCGATTGATTGATTAACAACATCTATACTACTGATATTAATGGATTTAATCTATTTACATTTAGAAACTTGAGAAATATATAACCAATAGGCAACCTCTTTTTTAAATGCGGCCCCACACTAGGATTTGTTTCTCTTATGTCGTGGGTGCGTTAACAAACATGTTATTTCACATACGCATCACACCCAGACCCGGAACAAAAATTTATAGATAACACGAGAAATTGTTCCGTGTTGGAGTGAAACTAGTGACATATTGTACAGCAGCCAGTTGCCCAGCCACGGCGCCCACCATGCAGTCGAGTTGATAAGCTCTTTGATTTTATTATCCCTATCGACCCATCCCGGCTTCGAACGGGTGAGATGCTGATACTTACTATGGATGTTAATTTTTTAAATGTAATAATACGACGAACTTGCTTTTTTTAATACCTGATCGTAAGCAATCAGCGCCACCCATAGACAACAACGGATGAGTTAAGAGCGCGTTTCCGACCTTTTGGAGATTTTGTGATTTGGGAAGGGTAAGGATTGGGCCTCTGGAAACATCACTGAAACGGCGAAACAAGACGCTGTTGTTTCACATTGGTTTTTTGTGTGGCCGTGGAAACATCATTAAAATCCGTTGCATAGTTTAAAAGATGTAAGCATACATAGAGACAGAGAAATCGACTTTGTGGTGAAGTGTAAAGCGTAACTATATACTGGTTGCAAACTGACACTGCGTGCCTGTCTTCAGAACGGGTCCACTTAAACTGGTGTGGTTCTTTCCTCAAAATACCACTACAAACTTGAAAAGAGACTGACCTCTGAGTTTGTTTCGGCATTTCTTCTCAAAGTAGTCAGATAGGAAATGCCGGCTTCATCTAGTTTTTCACATATAAATTGACGTGTAAAAGTGCCGTTTTATGGCTTATTTGCAAAAATAAATTCATTGTTTCATTGTTGTTTCCTTAACGAATTATAGATAAGTTCCATTCCAAATATGTATAAGAAAGATACAAAGTATTATTAGGAAGGTGTGTTGAAAATAAGTACCTATTCGGGTGGATCACTACCAAGAAATCTTAAGCACTAACTTTGTATCATGTTACCAAGACGTCTGATAATAATAATAATAATTGTTATCTGCGTACAAATGTATGCGTAGTAGTGTTATATCTAGTGATATTTTTAATTCGAAGTTCAATGATTGTTTTATGATATACATATATTCTGAACTACCCGTTGAATTGTTGTACCCTTATTGAATTTGCTGAAGATTTTGGAGCTTGTTCGATAGTTCTCAAGGATCATTATCCTAATCAGCCTACAAGTGCTCAATACTGAGCAAAGGCCTCTTCTCACACAGAGAAGGTGTGAGAATTAATCAAAAAACATCTTTCTTTTTATGCAATAGTTCGGCAAACGAGCAGACGGATTACCTGATGGTAAGCAATCACGCCGCCCATGGGACGACCTTTTTGGGATTAGGGTTTTGGAAATTTAGGGATTTTGGGAAGAATTGGGCCTTTCGGTAACCTCACTCACACGGCAAAACACAACGCTAATTACACGCAAACATTTTATTAAATTCTGTGACATTATTTTCCGATGATAGTTATCACTATTACAATAACTAAAGAAATTATTTAATTGAAATTAATAAAATGAAATCAGCGTATCATAACATGACTGATGTTAAGTGATGATTCATAAATATTGTGTCGCAATTCGAAGAAAATAATGATAAATATGTATGAAGTGATTTTTTTAGAAGATTTTTTGATTTAAATAAGACTAAGATTACTGCTCTGTTTTGTCTACTTGTATTTACTTATATTATTTCATATCACTGATATACTGTCTTCTTTTTTGTTTCTCTCATTACAATACCGAAGAAAGTTTATTTCCTTCTCTTTTGTGGCTTCAAATTAAAACTTGGAGCTTTTTTCGGATTGTAATTTATCTTTTATACAAGAAAACAAAAATATTTTAGACGCAAGTAGTTATTTCAAAAAATTAACTATCATAGATGGCGCTGTTCAATTTGGTGTTTATCTATTATTATTTTCTTTTTCGGATGAAGTTGCTGCTAAAAACTAGTATGTATTAGTAATCAACTAAACACCCTGCTTATGTATGTATTAAAATTATTATTTGATAGAGTTCAAGTACCTATGACGTAGTTCTCTTCCTTGAGATAAAAATATTATCACATTGAGATGATAATAAAAATGTAATATTCTATTTTTTGATGCAAGATAAATAATATTGTATTTGACTAAGTATAGAAGCATTTTTTTTTTTGTTTTTTTTCATACTTAGGGAAATACAGATGAGGTTTTGTTGGTTGAGAAGTTTGGTTTTTTCTTAACTTCTTGTCTGCCGATATATGAGACACAATAGAATACACATTGAGTCTCGTGTGTATTAAGGTTTAGAAATAATAGGTATTTACCTATAAAATTGCCGTTTTGCATGAAAAAATTTAAACGAATTTTTTGATTTGAAATGCGATGAAAATGTACCACTAATCAATAAACAAATGACTACTGTTGGAAAAACAATCCCATGTTTTTAAAACAAAATTAATTAGTCTTAGCCTAACAAAAACTATTTTGATTTGAAATGGCCAGTTCTGCAGAACGGCAGTTTCATAGGTAAAGACCTATTATTAGACACGTTTTTTTTTCGTCTCATAATTATTGATATCAAATATTGTGTGACGCCACGCCCAAGTATCTAGGTACATCTATATATTTATACATTCACGTTAGTAGTTGTATTATTTATAACTCAAGAATGGCTGAACCGAATTTCGTTGAGAATTAGTTTAGAACCTGAAGAAGAACATAGGATACGGTATAGTAGAAATGGTAGGGTAAACTAGGGTATGTAGCGTAGGTAAGGTAGGGTACTCGTAGATAATTAGTGTAAAAGTGAAGCCGGGTAAAAGCTATTTTTATACTAAGCGGTGAACTTAGATTTCTTTTATCCAAGTAATTTTGTCTTATACAAAAAAATAACAAAATAATACTAGTCTAATACTTTTTAATTATCTAACTGACGGACTAAATAGATGTTTAATTTAATTGCCCCATCAGCATGCCTATTATAGTATCTCATATTGCCACGTGTGTTTCAATTTAATTAACACGCGCCTACTTAATTATTAAAAGCTCAATTATAGTATTTTCTGTCGAGCAAAATATTGTCATAATTGCCAACGAAACAATGATGTTCTCGGAATCATTGTCATTAAGCTAATTAACGGATAATGAGGGCCTTGTAGTAAGCCTTAAGCTACGAAATGTACAATCTCAGTAGGTAAGTAATAGAGAACTTTTTGTCAAAGTAATTTGAAGCATATACCTGTGCAGCTAGGGTTTATTTTCAATTACGGTTAGGTATATGTTTTTAGTTTGGTGTTAGAGTAGAACTTCGTGTATCTGGAGTTCTGGCAATGTGTTAAAGTAATTTGAAGCATGTAGATAAGTAGTTAAGGTTTATTTTTAACTGTAGTTAATTTTATTATTAGAATTACTTTGATTTGTTTTTAAACAAATTTAAGATGAGATGTAGTATGTATGTGAGAAGATAAGATGTACCCATAAACGTGCATAAAAAGATGACGTTATAAACACTACATCACATTGAAAGGTAAGGTTGGATCGCAAATTAACATATACTTATTACCTCAAGTTAGGCACCGCTTCTCGTGCATGAGGGTACGGCAAACCTGGCAAGTACCAATGTGACTTTTTCTGAGTTATATGTGCGGTCTAGGGTCAAAAGTGCAATTGCACTCTGCCAATATGAAAAATGGTAATACTTTTTTGTGATACAAGTTCGAGTATCTAAAATCCTGTGGTTGGGCGGTAATTTTCTTATTTAATTTTCGGTAGGAATTCGTAATGTTGGTAATATTACTGGTGGTTGCAATCCTGTTCCCCATCCCTTTCCCGCACATACGCTTACACACGCGTTGGAGCGAGAGGCGACACTAGCGCTCTTGAGTCGTGTGTGCAACCTTACGAAAAGAATCTCAATGGCTGACATCGCGCGCGAGAGTTCGCTTCGTTCTCCGCTACAAAAATTGATATTTGTGGAAAAACTGGTGTGATTTGTGCAAACT